CCAGCCGTTGGACCCTGGTTTAGGAACTTTCACTGTGTGAGGGATGTATTCCTCCATTCCGACGTGGATAATTTCGGTTATTGAAGAACAGACGGTCGACGCATCCGCGTCAGTGAAACAGACATCTCTCCAAGGAAAGCTAGAGAAGAAGTCTCTGAGCCCTTCCCAGTCGGCATGTCCGTAATGCCAAGTTTTGCGGCCTGCGCGAGTTTCTGAGGCCACAGCGGCTTCTGACCGAAACCTAACCTCCACAACACCGTGATCTGAGTTACCCAGGGGGGACAGGACGGCAGTGCTGTAAGGGACAGGATGCGTGGTCAGAAAGAGATCCAGCAGGCTACTGGCGTGTGACGAGACGCGGGGGAAAAAAGTAGGGCTCGTCACCAGCTGGGTCAGCCCTTGAGTTAGAGCGAACGCTTCGACTGCACGACCTGCTGCATCGGTCTTATTTGAGCCCAACCAAAGCTCATTATGGGCATTGAAATCACCGAGAAGAACTACCTCTGAAGCGGGGTGATTGATGTTCAGGAAGTCGATCTGGACAGCGAGGTATTCGAGTAGGTCATCCCAGTTATGGTTCGAGGGAGAGCGATGGAGGCAGCAAATAAATTTGGGTGATGTTTTGGAGTTGAGGCGAAGCCACAGAATGTCCTTCCGGTCTGATTCCAAAGAAAGATGCCTGGAGCAGGAAAGACTGCTGCGGACAAAAGCCACAACTCCCCCGTTCTTTCTCAGATTGAAGTGCACCTCGTAGTTTGGGAAGTTGAGATGGTTAATCGGTGCAGCCTCTGAGATTTTTGTCTCCGCCAAGAAAAGTACGGCGGGACGATTGGATTGCAGGTAGTGATGAACAGCATCAATGTTGCTGTTGATCCCGCAGATGTTCGAAAAACAAATTTTATCTTCGATGTTGTTCCCTCGAGCCCACCCTCCACCCGGACATTCCGAGAGTGGAATGAGTTTACGTCCGGAGTTTTTAGTGCTCGAGGGATCCATCATCATTAATTTCTTTGTTTTGGTAGATAACCGACTGCATAGCTTAGGTGTGGAAACATGCGGACATTTATAAGACACCCTGGGAAAAGCTAGCGGGTGGTACTGCCTCGGTCGACTGGTCCTTGTCTACCACCTTCTTTTTACGTATTAGTGATGTTAAATAGACCTAAAGTGGCCCGTTGGCGGACTTGTACCGCCACCCGGCAATCGGTACTGAGGTATTCCTTAACGCGTGCGCAATCACTTGGACGGGAAGAAGTTGTATATTGGATACAACGACTTCCGGAACAAGCATTTGCCACGGCCCTCGCTCAGTAGGGATCGAAATATATATATATATATATATATATATATATATATATATATATATATATATATATATATATATATATATATATATAATTACCATAATCATCGCTACGATATAGGTATCAAATTAAAGGGCTTTATGGGGGAAGCATAACAAGCAACGTGATGTCATTCTAAATCTAATATGGCGGTCACCGCAAAATGGCGATTTATGATTTTCCTATACCATGGATATCAAATGAAAGGCTCCGATGAGGGAAACAACAACAACTTCATAAGTCCAATATGGCGATCTCTGCTAAATGGGCTTAACGAGAGGAACACAATAAGCAAATAACGTCCTTCCGTTCATTCAATAGAGCGATTGAAGCATCATCAATTTATCGTTATATGATTTGATTACTCAAAACGATGAGAAATCCACACAAAAATTATCCTATAGTCCAAATTGTACTCGAACCCCTTGACTAACGTCTGACTTGACACCGTAGTGAATACCGAAAATATGAAATGACCGTAAAATATTCATGACTTTGCCCTTTTTACAAAATATACATGTTAAATTACAGAAAGGGATGAACAGGTCCAGCCCACCGACCCTACAGCATAAGGTTCAGAATAGAAATATCCTAATTTATAATAAATTCGTTTTTCAAATTTTCATATAAATAGGGTCGACGTCCTAATCGCCAGAGATCACTATTAGTTTCTAAAGAAAGTTATTTTGACTTGCTCTATAATTATAAGATTTGTATAAATTCATATATTAAGTAACTGATTTGACTCATTATGTCATCGCATAGAACATGATATCCTGACCTAAGAATGTAAGTGAAGGTACGGGTTGAAGTGGATTTGATGTTGTCTTTTATTTTTTTTTTTTTGACAGAGGAAAGCTTTTGTAGCCATTCCCAAAACCTCGACACTAAAATACCTGTCGTTCGCCACACACCCCAGCACGGTAATGCTTGCAGCATCGTACACATACATTGTGACTTCGAAGTTGAGTCATTTATTTTAACAGTGAGTAGATCTGATCAAAAGAAACGTTTTTTTCCTTTAACATTTTTCTGGTAAAATTAAAGTAACAAAGTTTGAGTACCGCCCTGTCTCAATAATAATATTATGTGCTCGTGTTTGGCAACAACGGATATAAGCCGCCTTATCCGTTCATCGCATCGGAAACAAAAAAGCGAAAGAATTTGAAACGATGTTTTTACTAGAATGTACAATCTTATTCAATTGTATTCAGTCGATGTGTCAGTCGGTAACGCGTGAGTGAATAGTGGTGTTTGTTGCGTGGCTCAAACGAAATGAAAAATGGCACATGTTTACGAAAATGCTGAATGTAGGACAAATGGCTCGCGAATCAGGTGACTTAAGACTTTTAAGACTTCAAAGTCACCCTGTATATACCTTTATACCTATGTAAATCTACAACCGATCAAAATAGAAACCTACTATTGATTGCTTGGTCTATTTCTGTTCTCCCGTACCTTACCCAGCATCATTCGCCTCACTACTGGTTGAATATCAACCAATTTTCCCATTTAAATGCTTGGCAAAATTGTCAGCAGTAAGCCTCCCGCCGAGCGTCAGTCCCAGCAGTGTCTGGTAGTCAACCCACCTTCCACACTGGAGTAGGTAATTAGGATTATCCTCATCTTCGTTACAATATACGCAATTCGCAGGTAGCTGCCAAAACAACCATGTCCTGTGAGGAACTGTGCGGTATAGTAAACCTATCCGCACCGCTCCTTGTCAATCCACGTTTTAAGATCTGGGATCAGTCACCTGGTCCATGCACCATGGCCAGTTGCTTTCCTGCCATCTGACAAAAGGCGCCTCTGTTTCGCCTCTTGTAGCTTCGTCGCCCGTTTTATAGAGCGCGCATCTCTCCGCACCAGCAAATCAATTAGCATGATACCAGCTACCACCAGCAGTGCATCAGTCGACACCGTTCTGTAAGCGCACACCAAGCGCAACATTACTTTTTGTTGGCTTCTCAATATTAGCTGTCTCTATTTCTATTGCCTCATGTTCCTGTTATATACTAAGTGACATATAAATCCGAACACCCAGTTTAAATGGTTTTATTTTAATAAAAGTTGGTGAATGTATTTATCTTACTGTAAATAACAACTGAAAAAATGTTCACCCTTATCAATTGGACATTCCGGTTTTTATACTGCTTTTTTTTAATTCACTAACGCTCTAAAAATGAATATTTCAGCCGCAGTAAAGAATCAACGTTGGCGGATTTTGGTTCTTGACATCCTTTACGATCGGTTACGATGCCTAGAGTACGGAGACCTGTACGATTTCGTCAACTTAGTGAGTTTGATAGGGGCCGTATAGTGGGACTTCGGGAAGCTGGACTTTCTTTTCGGGCAATTGCAGTTAGAGTGCAAAGAAGTGTAGACACTGTGGTTAGGTGTTGTCAGGCATGGCTTCGAGAAGGCCGTACGCAAAGAGCAAGGGGCACTGGACGCCGCCGTAGAACAACAGACCGTGAAGATCGCCACCTAAGATTATTGACCTTAAGGGACCGTTTCTCCACTACCAGGTCCATTGCAAATGAATGGTTTGCAGAACACGGAAGACCTATTGGCATGCGAAGTGTTTACCGACGAATAAGAAGTTTAGGCTTGTTTTCATACCGGCCACACTGGGTCCTCCATTTAACTCGAGAACACCGACGTAATCGCCTTGAGTGGTGCAGACAACGGTCACTCTGGGATCAGGAATGGAACAGTATTGTCTTTAGTGACGAGTCTCGATTTTGTTTAGGCATGCACGATGGTCGTGCCAGGGTTAGAAGGCGACGTGGTGAAAAGAGGAATCCACAGTTTGTTGTTGAAAGACATGTTCATCACACTGTTGGAGTTATGGTTTGGGGTGCTATAGCTTATGGTTCCAGGTCACCTTTAATCTTCATCAGAGGTAACATGAACGCGCAGCGTTATATCCACGAAGTTCTAGAACCCCATCTTTTACCCTATCTTGACACCCTGGCAGATCCAACTTTCCAACAAGATAATGCCCGACCACATGTTGCAAGAGTCACAATAGACTTCTTTCAACATAATGATGTCACATTGTTACCATTGCCACCAAGATCTCCCGACTCATCCCCAATTGAGCACGTGTGGGATATGATGGGTAGCAGATTGCTCAATTTGCAACGTCCTCCTCAGACTCTAGAAGCACTTCGAGAGGAGTTGGTGGTTGCCTGGAATGAGATACCACAGGAGGACATTGACCACCTGATCAGAAGCATGCCTAGGCGCGTTGGAGAATGCCTAGCACATCAGGGTGCATCCACACATTATTAAAGGTCAAGGGGCTTTAAAGCAGTGCAATCATTTTGAAATTTTTATCATTTACTTATTATGCTTCATAATTTTATTAAAATAAAAACATTTAAACTGGGTGTTAGGATTTATATGTCACTTAGTATACTTGTTAGACAGGAGCTAACTTAATTAGCTGTTAAGTTTGATAATTCCGAGATTCGGAGACAAAATGTAATTAAGCATCTGGATGAGTGGCTCGTCAAGGATCTGAAAATGATTGACGTTGGGTTAAAGCAGAGCGTAATACTTTTCTCCAAAGTATTCCTGTCTATCCCGGAATCCTCGTACTTGGAAGGTTAGAGGAAATAGGCATTAACTTGTACAAATGGTTCGTTAAATACGTTTTATTGGTACAAAAATAGAATTCTAAAATCAAACACCTAGTACTTATGTTGATGGCCATGATGGTGGTCTGCCCCCTGGAAGCCCCAATGCGTCATATGCACATAACTGGTCGGCTCTCCATGTCCACCTCCATGCCCGTGGTGTCCATGTCCGTGCTTCCCGTAATGCGCTGGATGTTTAGCGTGGCCTTCTCGAATCACAACCGCTTCAAAACCCCTATGGGGATGCACGGTGTACTTGACGATGCGGTGGGTACCGTCGGGTTCTTGGAGCTTGTATTCGCCCTCGACGACCTTGCCTTTTCTGTGTTCATATTGGGATTTATGATCGTGCGTATGTGGATCGTGGACGCCGTATTCGAATTTGTAGTTAACGTGGTCGTCGTCGGTCGAGATCGTTGCTGCTATGCATGTGGTGCAGATGAGGAGAAGCTGGAATTGGGAAATGGAGGATTAGCGAATAAAGTACCATGCACAAAACATATAAAGTCGATTTGTATAAAAATTAAGTGTGATGTACAGGGTGTTTCAGTTTATTGTTGCATAACTTTAAGATTCGATAGAACTTTTAAAATTAATGCATACAGTCTATATAAACATGGGTCGAAAAATGCGTGGCTTCCGAAATACAGGGTGTTTAAATTTACTTTTTAAAATAGTTTTTTTTAAATATTTCGAACAATATTTGATGCATAACAGTGAAAATTGGTATACAAGGGTTTTTTGGTACGACAAAACGAACCATGGGCATAGTTTTACTGTAGCCGCTAGAGGGCGCTCTCTACTGTGCGTGTAGTGTATTAAAATGACCGAAAATTTTTTCATAGTGCAATTTTTTTGCTTTTTGAATAAAAAAAGTGATTCTTCGCACTTTTCTGCATAAAAAACCTCTTCTGTGAGTTTTCGTTATAGTTAGCCGTTTTTGAGATATTTCGATTTTTAAGGTTCGATGCATTTTTAATTATTTATCGGAAAATAATATTTTTTTTAAATTTTCGATTTGGGCATTACAAGTAATTAAGATGATCGTTTAGATTGTTCGTGCGTATTCTCTGGCTGCTTCTGCTGCGTTTCCATTTACAAAGCCATACACAAAATGAATATCCGCTAACTCTTAATTGGAGAATAAAAAAACAGGTGAAAGAAACTAAATTTCGTGCATTCACAATTGCAAAAAAACGTTTCAAGTTTCAACAGACAACAAAACTAACTGTCAACTAATTGACGTTTAACCTTATTCTACTTTCCATTTGAAAAATATTTGCAGGCACAGCCCACTTCTAAAAATTATCGAGATACTGACTTTTTAACGTTATTTTATCACAAATAATTAAAAATGCATCGAATCTTAAAAATCGAAATATCTAAAAAACGGCTAACTATAACGAAAATTCACAAGAGAGCTTTTTTATGTTGAAAAGTGCGAAGAATCGGTTTTTTAATCAAAAAGCAAAAAATTTCACTAAGAAACAATTTTCGGTCATTTTAATACACTACAGGTATAGTAGAGAGCGCCCTCTAGCGGCTACAGTAAAACTATGCCCGTGGTTCGTTTTGCCGTACCAAAAAACCCTTGTATACCAATTTTCACTGTTATACATCAAATATTGTTCGAAATATTTAAAAAAATTTTAGAAAGTAAATTTAAACACCCTGTATTTTGGAAGCCACGCATTTTTCGACCCATGTTTATATAGACTATATGCAAGTTATAGGGCTACCCTGTAGAAGCTAAAAAATAGAAAATGCAGGTCAGCACATCATCGCAGCGCCTAGCAACCGTTGAAATGCAACATGATATGTTTCCTGTTTTACTCATGCTAACGAACATTGTACTTGTATAATTAAAATTTAGTCTTAATCTAACTTTCGTACCATCCACTACTGTATTTTCGGAAGTAAGTTCTACCGAATCTTAAAGTTATGTAACAATAAACTGAAACACCCTGTATTTCTCTCAACTTATCGCTGCAAAATGGTAAATATCCATCATCGTGGAAAGTGTCAAAAGTTTGTCCTGTTTTTAAAAATAAGGGTAACAATAGCGATATTGAGAATTACAGACAAATCACGATAATTAACAACTATTCAAAGGTTTTTGAGTTTCTTATATATGATGCAGTTTACTGGCATGTGCATAATACTTTATCAACTCAACAGCATGGCTTCATGAAAAAACGATCAACTGTGACAAACTTATTCTGCACTGCTCAGTATATATCTGGAAATATATACTAAGTGACATATAAATCCGAACACCCAGTTTAAATGGTTTTATTTTAATAAAAGTTGGTGAATGTATTTATTTTACTGTAAATAACAAGTCAAAAATTTCAAAATGATTGCACTGCTTTAAAGCCCTTTGACCTTTAATAATGTGTGGATGCACCCTGATGTGCTACGCATTCTCGAACGCGCCTAGGCATGCTTCTAATCAGGTGGTCAATGTCCTCCTGTGGTATCTCATTCCAGGCAACCACCAACTCCTCTCGAAGTGCTTCTAGAGTCTGAGGAGGACGTTGCAAATTGAGCAATCTCCTAAACATCATATCCCACACGTGCTCAATTGGGGATAAGTCGGGAGATCTTGGTGGCCATGGTAACAATGTGACATCATTATGTTGAAAGAAGTCTATTGTGACTCTTGCAACATGTGGTCGGGCATTATCTTGTTGGAAAGTTGGATCTGCCAGGGTGTCAAGATAGGGTAAAAGATGGGGTTCTAGAACTTCGTGGATATAACGCTGCGCGTTCATGTTACCTCTGATGAAGATTAAAGGTGACCTGGAACCATAAGCTATAGCACCTCAAACCATACCTCCAGCAGTGTGATGAACATGTCTTTCAACAAAAAACTGTGGATTCCTCCTTTCACCACGTCGCCTTCTAACCCTGGCACGACCATCGTGCATGCCTAAACAAAATCGAGACTCGTCACTAAAGACAATACTGTTCCATTCCTGATCCCAGAGTGACTTAAGGCGATTACGTTGGTGTTCTCGAGTTAAAGGGAGGACCCAGTGTGGCCGGTATGAAAACAAGCCAAAACTTCTCATTCGTCGGTAAACACTTCGCATGCCAATAGGTCTTCCGTGTTCTGCAAACCATTCATTTGCAATGGACCTGGTAGTGGAGAAACGGTCCCTTAAGGCCAATAATCTTAGGCGGCGATCTTCACGGTCTGTTGTTCTACGGCGGCGTCCAGTGCTCCTTGCTCTTTGCGTACGGCCTTCTCGAAGCGATGCCTGACAACACCTAACCACAGTGTCTACACTTCTTTGCACTCTAACTGCAATTGCCCGAAAAGAAAGTCCAGCTTCCCGAAGTCCCACTATACGGCCTCTATCAAACTCACTAAGTTGACGAAATCGTACAGGTCTCCGTACTCTAGGCATCGTAACCGATCGTAAAGGATGTCAAGAACCAAAATCCGCCAACGTTGATTCTTTACTGCGGCTGAAATATTAATTTTTAGAGCGTTAGTGAATTAAAAAAAAGCAGTACAAAAACCGGAATGTCCAACTGATAAGGCTGAAAATTGTTTCACTTGTTATTTACAGTAAGATAAATACATTCACCAACTTTTATTAAAATAAAACCATTTAAACTGGGTGTTCGGATTTATATGTCACTTAGTATATCATATTAACTGCAGCAGGTAAACTCATTGTAACAATCAATTTTAAGTTGGAGTACTAAATCTAAGTAAATGGTTCAATAAATATAATTAATCCTGACTTAATTGAGATAGATTCAAGTAAACTGTTTCAGAAATCGGAGCTTAATTAAACCAATTGAACTTGTTACCTGCCACATGGTTAACTAAATTTTTCAGTTATCTGAATTGGAATTTTAATTGATTTGTTTTTTTTCCTCAGTGTACCAAATCTAAGGAGACGATGAACTAATTGTATAGGCCTGTTTGATTGACCTGATTCATTTAAATGTTCTGAACATAATTCTTTATTGACTGATGACAACGTCTCGTGGAAAGTGAATAGCCAACCTCCTTGATGCCATTTTTTTGTCTTGATATCCTGGTCGGAACGGACCTCATTCGTCATGAGAATTATCGGTCTGATATCCAGGAAACGTTGCTACTACTTAACTTTTTGTCATTATCCAGATTTTAGGTGTATTTCTAACAATCTGCCAAACTCACCGTCTTTAACATCACGGATTTTTTATAATCCACACACTAAGGACACACAGTGTTACAGTTGGCACCGATCAGATACTAGTGTGCCCGAATCCGGTAATTCCATATTTATAGTAAATTTTGGCCGGTATTGAATAATAAACGGTTGATGTTTGGTGAAAATTAATATTACTAATTTCATGCTTTCATGCTCCATTAGAATCTATGTCTACTGTTTAGGGAGCAGCGTGAAAAACTAGGCACTGGTTATGATGGATAGAAAATTTTTACTTGAATGACCATATACGTACAAAGAAATTTTGCAAGTACATGTGCTTTGGGTAAAATATATCGAAACAGAATATTATGTATACATATATTGTTAATACAGTTACATAAGCTCAAATGCAAGCGTTGGATAATGTTTATTAAGGTGATATTGTAGTGAGAAGACGTATCCTGGTTTACACGTTTTGTTTCCCGTGATGTATTTTGAAAGTAAGTATCTATGTAGTAGTATTAGTCGTTTATTTAGAAAAAAAAAGTCCTAATTTCAACAACAACAACAACTGGTAGCATTACAGCATTTCACAAGTACATAGATATACATATATTCAAATATAATAAATTTAACAAATTCTGTCAGATCTTATGTGTTTGATAAGTGCTTTCTTGAAATACCCGACTGAATCGGCGTTTTTTATTTGCTGCGGCAACTTATTATATTCAAATAGACGTTTGTACATTATTGTTTTCATTGTACTCTTCATATTTGTTTTATTTACATGGAAATTAGTACACGTCCTAGTGTTATATGAATGTATCTCATTATTTGGTCGTAGATGCGCACCTAAATAATTCTTCACAATTTTATAAATAAATAACATTGCTGTTAAATAAAGATGTTGAATCACCGATAACCACTGTAGAGTGTCCAGCATATATTCAATTCTTGTCTACCTAGAGCAGTGTAAAATTATCCGCATTCCCCTATTTTGTAAGGTGCCTCTTTTGTTCTTGCTAAAGAAATATAATAAAGATGAACAGTACTGAAAATGAGGTTTTATTATTGTATTGTAAACCGTAATTCTTGCAAACATTGATAGCTGTTTATAAACTCTTGGAAAAAATAAAGTTTCTTTGAAATTTTCTTAATAATATAGTCACTATGGCTGTTAAAGTTTAGGTTTTTATCCAACATAAATCCAAGGTATTTCATTGCATCAACTATATCAAGAACTGTCTTTTCAATTTTAATTTGGATATTAGCTTTTATAATATTCTTGTTTTTACTTCTGCTTGATACTACCATTGCTTTTGATTTTTGAGTGTTCAACTTCAATTAGTTCATTTTTAAATATGTATCAATGTTTGCAAGGTCACTGTTCACAATATCGATAGCCTCATTCAGGTTTTTGCAGTGCACAAGTGTGTCATCGGCAAATAGATTTATGGAGCTACGTCTCTGAACAAGTTCCATATCATTCAAATATGTTATAAAAAATAATGTTTTTCAACAGCAAAGTATTTATAGGTCTAAAATCGGATGCTTCTATGGAATTAGGTACTTTAGGGATGGGCGTAACTGTGCTTACTTTTAATGCATCCGGAAAAACTCCAGTGAAGTGTTGATAAAATTCAAGATTACAAGACCAATCGAGTGCAAAGTATTTTTAAGAAGTTTAGTATTCAAAATGTCTTCGCCGTATGTTTTATTTTCAAATGCAAGTATAATTTCTTTCAATTCATTGAATGATATGGATCTAAATTTCAGGAACGTAGCTGCATCACAAGATAGATCATTATCCACATATATACTATAATAAAATTTTGTATAAGTACTTAATGAAGCATAATAAGTAAATGATAAAAATTTCAAAATGATTGCACTGCTTTAAAGCCCTTTGACCTTTAATAATGTGTGGATGCACCCTGATATGCTACGCATTCTCCAACGCACCTAGGCATGCTTCTGATCAGGTGGTCAATGTCCTCCTGTGGTATCTCATTCCAGGCAACCACCAACTCCTCTCGAAGTGCTTCTAGAGTCTGAGGAGGACGTTGCAAATTGAGCAATCTCCTACCCATCATATCTCACACAAGCTCGATTGGGGATAAGTCGGGAGATCTTGGTGGCCATGGTAACAATGTGACATCATTATGTTGAAAGAAGTCTATTGTGACTCTTGCAACATGTGATCGGGCATTATCTTGTTGGAAAGTTGGATCTGCCAGGGTGACAAGATAGGGGTTCTAGAACTTCGTGGCTGTAACGCTGCGCGTTCATGTTACCTCTGATGAAGATTAGAGATGACCTGGAACCATAAGCTATAACACCCCAAACCATAACTCCAACAGTGTGATGAACATGTCTTTCAACAAAAAACTGTGGATTCCTCCTTTCACCACGTCGCCTTCTAACCCTGGCACGACCATCGTGCATGCCTAAACAAAATCGAGACTCGTCACTGAAGACAGAATCGCAAAATACATTGGGGTAAGCGAATAAATTATTGCAAGAAGAGGTCATACCATGGAAGATCTGCTGCAGCTGTAGTGAGAAATAATACCGAGCAGCCTGTCTATGTGGTCAAAATACATTTGCGTTCTAAGCTTAGTCCAACCTCGCTTATAACTAAGATGAAACACAGACTCAAACGCAAGAATCTTGGAAAGAAACTCAGACCAAAAAAAGTTGATATAAACATAACTAGCAATTCGGATAGCAATTCCAAAGAAAATATATACAGCAGACGCTCGATAATGTAAGCTAATTTAATCCAAGTGTGATTCACATTATCGAAATGTTTACATTAGCGAACGTGATTTATATAATATCTGATTTATTAAAAGAAACGTTTAATACATAACAAAATAAACAAATATTCTAACAGCGATAAGTATTTTTTTAATTAGAAGAAAAATAATTAACAATTTTTGTCTGCGTAAATTTGCGCTTAGGATTGTCTTCCAATGCCTGCGCCCGTAATTTACGAAGAACTAAAATATCCGTGTATGAAACTTTTTTCTTTCAGCCCAATCTAAAGCTTGATTAAAAACTTGCATAGCTTGCGCGTCAGTTACTACACTTCTGACTTCAATAGGATCGTTCTCATCATCCTCACTGTCCATATCCTCCTCCTTATCAGCATCATTCGTCTGCTTATCTTCGTTCCATAAATTAATATCAGCAGGAGTACAAACAATGTTGGGATTCACTGTTTTCAATAAATCAACAACATCCAATGACACACTAATAACATTATCATTATTGGATCGCAAACGTTCTCTAATTACGCTTAAGGGGACATCGTCTTCTTCATCATCTTCATTATTGGTACAAAAGAGATTGTTCCAACATTTTTGAATAGTTTGCTGGTTAAGTTCATTCCAGGCCATATGTAAATCTAAAACAGCTTCTCGTAATGTTACTTTTTTTAAAGCCTCAGATAAGTTTTCAGGATTCTTTGATAAGACAGACGAAAGTAGAAACTTCCTATAGTATAGTTTGGTGAGTCTTATTATATTCTGGTCCATCGGTTGAATTAACGGTGTTACGTTGGGCGGCATGTACATGACGAAAATTGACCCATCCCTGCTCCTCAGTTGTTGCTCGGGAGGATGACTTGGTGCATTATCCAATAGTAACAACGCTTTTATTGGAAGCTTCTGTTGTTTTAGGAAACCTTTTACCTACAAATTGAAAACACATCTTCAAATTATGAATAGAGCATTTGTGATAATTGATTGTCATACCTGAGGGACAAAGCACCTGTGGAACCATTTCAGGAATATACTGCTAGTCATCCAAGCGGTTTTTGAACAGTCATAATCAACAGGGACCTTAACATTTTTAAATGAGCGCGGATTTTTTGCTTTCCCAATTACCAGTGGCTTTATTTTGTGTGAACCATTAGCATTAGTGCTAGAAACGTTATTCGTTGTTTCTCCGGCTTTCTTCCAGGGGCAGATTTTTCAAATGATGCAGCATAGGTTTTCTCTGGTAACATTTTCCAATAAAGGCCACTTTCATCTGCGTTGTAAATTTGTTCCATTCTTAAATCTGGCTCGGTAATTGTTTTCATCAATTTTTCTTTGAATGGTTGCACTAATTGTGGTTGTGCTGATAATTTTTCAACAGATATAGACAGCAGTCGAATTCCATATCTTGTTTTGAATCGTTGTATCCAGCCATCACTAGCTACGAAATTTTCAGTTTCTTTCAGTTTTTCATTTAACAGTCTCGCTCTCTGGTTAAGTACTTCGCCACTAACTGGGTCATGATTTTCCCGTTGTTTTAAAAACCACTTATACAGGGAATTTTCCATTTTAGTGCCTTCGCATTTTTTAAAGTTTTTCTTTTTCCCGGACCTCTAAATGTATTGCACGTTCTTTGTAAAATTTGTGTTTTCATACGCTTAATTTTACAGATTGTTGCTTTCGATACTCCATATTTTTTTGCTAACTGTGTCACTCCCGAACCTAGCGCAACTTCGTCTATGATTTTCACTTTCTCACTCAACTTTTAAACACTTTCTTTTATAGGATGTGGATGCCATAGTCGTAAAATATATTAACGCGTGCAATGTATTCACTTAAGTTCAAAAATGAAATACATACGTACGTATAAACGTATCCTAAACGATCATACGACTGTCCGAGTTTGTCGTATTTTATCGCAGATGTGAATCCCATACACTCTACATCATAAATCGGGGACTCTCCGACGCCCGACATAAATCATCGACGCTTCAGCATTTTACCGTCGCGCTGTTTCCGTGCGCCGAGAGTTGTTTACGTTATCGAGCGTACACATTGTTCACGTTATCGCGCGTTCCGTTTGATCCTATAGAGCGAAGTTTGTGTTTACATTAGCGCAAGTTTTCATTATCCCGTGTTTATGTTATCGAGCGTCTGCTGTAATAGTTTTATGGCGAATTCTGTCAAAAACCTGACATGAACGACAGTGATTTGGAAGTTGCTAAGCAAGAATTTATAGGGAAACTTAGAAAAAGTGGCGACGAGATTTTGCCACCAAATCACAGGACTGTGCTTTGTGACGTCTTCATCGGAGGATAAGGTTGACAGCGTCTCGATTTGGTGAAGTTTGTAGAAGAAGGCAGACAACAAGCTGTAAAGTTCTAGTAAGCTCCATCATATACCCAAAAGAGTTTTCTAGTAAGGCAATAAAAAAAGGCAATACAAAAATCATTGGACACGGCAGTTCAATCTTGTGGTTTGTTTATTGATCGCACAGATCCATTTCTGGCAGCATCACCTCCATCTACCTATTACAGTAGACAAGACATATACTTAATCCAGGTAAAGCCTACCTGTTCATTGCTTTGCAAAAACTATCTAACTGTTTCCTCTTATTTTGACGGCATGAGATATTTTCATGACCCTCGTTCAATTGTTACCATCTACCACACGACGCTTGTAAACATAATTGCGTTTATTGACATGAATAAACGAATTAGAATTTGAGTTCGTGAATTTATTTTAGGAAAGATACATTTTTTATTAATCGGAACGCACCGTCGCGTCGCTTGGACTGACAGGACGAAACAGTAGATGAATTTCGCCCAAAAACCGATTTGCACTTCACATCTTACTTTTTATTATTTCCAAATGAAACTCTTGCAGCGTGCTAACAACAAAGTCCACAGGGTGCCAGCGATCCACTTTTTCGATTTTATCCCCTAGGATCTTTTTAAAATATCAAGATTTTGATTTTCGACAAAACTTTTGAGCTGCTTGTTCAGGGTAATAGCTTTACCATAATTTGGAATAGCTGATCTTCACTTTGCACATTTTCGTGCTTAAATCCTGCTTTGCGGTCGCAATTTTGCACAGTTTCTTTGGTTACTTGGTAGTAAGCGCTTTCCGTATTCAACCTGGCTTATTTCCGTAATATTGACCTTAAAGAAACAAAAATTGGGACACGCTTATATGCATCACTGATAAATAACCGTTGGCCCGGTTAGCGGAAAACAAAACAGCGTTCGATTTAGGCATAATTTCCAAAACATAACAAATTAATCTAGCGAATTTCCTGCCTGGCAGTTTTTGCAATTCCTCATTGCAGATCTTGCGTGTCGACATTGGTGCAACTGATTTACTTATTTCCACGAATTACATCATCAACTGTTTTATTCAGATCGATTCATGCATTATTTTACTTCCGAAATTCAAGCGAGGAAGTATTTTTAATAAAAGTATTTCAGTATGCATATAATTGACGTACATATGTTTGTTTCTTGGGTAAAAGAAAAAACACAGGAAAATCTGTATTGAAATGAGTTTCAACCATTGAAATTGATTTCGGTGGCGCCTCGTGACAAAATACTTGATTCGCTATGATAAGGTTTTACGACGCCATTTAAGAAAAAGGAACATTCGTCGGAAAAGCAAGTGTTGAATAGAAAATGTTCATCGTTTATAATTCGGATGAAAACTCTGGGCCTTTAGAATCCGTTGGACAGTACCTCGACTAACACCACACACAGTCTCCAATTTGCGGGTTTTTTTTTTTTTTTTGGTGAGGGGAGAATGCATTTACGCACCATACCATAGCCCGAGCTACGGCGTGTGTGGGACTCCAGGTTGTCTTGAGGAGATCACCTAATACCCACTAAACCCTAAACCTCCGCGTGGCCCGACTCATCAGCGTCTCGGTAGGCCATGTGTTGTGCGTGACCTGCGGTCTGCTACAACGTCTCCTCATGTGTTTCAGTCTCTGGGAACGCCGGGTTGGTTCCCTTTACCTCGCACATTCTATCGATGTCGTTAAGCGATCATCGATAGAGGGTCTGCTAGGTTCTCTTGAAACTCTTGTTTTCGAAAAATCAAGAGTTTCAAGTCCTCTTACCAATATGTTGTTCCTGGTCCTGGTCCTGAAGGGTCCTGGTCCTGGTGGGTCCTGGTCGTGGCGGGTCCTGGTCCTGGTTGGTCCTGGTCCCGGTGGGTCCTGGTCCCGGTGGTTCCTGGTCCCGGTGGTTCCTGGTCCTCTGCATCCACGCCGTGGGGGGGGGGGGGAGCAACCGCGGGTTCTCCTAGTCTTCTAGTCAAGGTTCCAGTTAGCGGGTGCCAACTGGGACCTTGGTCTAGGGTACCTGGTTCTGCGGTTGCGAGGCCTCTCGTCCGGATCGTAGTCCATGAGGAATCGTAGCTGCTCGTTCGGGTGGTCCTGAGCTTTCTCGAAGGTCTTCTCCGCTTTTTTCCTCATGTACTCGTGGATGGTGTCCCAATGCAGGTCTCTACGCAAGGTTGAGTTTCTTACGTAGGATGGTGCACTGGTGGCGATCCGGAGTAGCTTCATCTCTAGAGCAGCAAGTCGCTTGCGGTAGCTGGGGGCAGCGTACCCCCAGACCGCGGAGGCGTAAGCGAGCTGAGGTCTGGCGATGGCCTTGATCAGCCGTAGCTTGGTCGCTAGCGGCATTCGGCTGTGTCTACCCAGTAATGGGTAGAGTTGAGCCATGGCTGCTCTGGTCTTTGCGATGACAGCTTCTATGTGGGCTTTCCAGGTGAGGGACTTGTCAAATACGATCCCCAGATATTTGACTTTGTCGCTCCACTGGATATCTTCGTCGAAGATGGATGCTTCGAGAGGTCTTGCAATCCTTCTTCGTTGGATGAAGATTGCCTGCGTCTTCTGGACGTTGATGCGGATTTTCCATTTCACGCACCAGTCCTGGATGTGGTCCAGTTCATCCTGTAGTCTCCTACGGATGATCTCGGGTCGTCTATGCTTGGCGGCTATAGCAGTGTCGTCTGCATATAGGGCCAGCATTGTGTCAGCTGTCTTCGGCATATCGTGAGTATAGATGTTGTAGAGCAGGGGGGCTAAGGCTGACCCCTGGGGCACGCCTGCTTCCAGCTGTCGTCTTGTTGAATGGCATGTACCAATCTTCACCGTGAACCATCTTTGTGTTAGATAGCTCTGGATCAGTTGGCACATGTTCGCATCGATTCCGGCGGCTTCCATTTTGGCGATGAGTCCATCGTGCCAAACTCGATCGAAGGCTCGTTCCACGTCCAGCAGGACGAGACCGGTTGCCTCCTGGAGATTGAAGCCGCTGGTGATATTTGCGGGTACTTGACGTAGGATCTATATAAACTTGCCCTAAAACCCCCACTTCTATTGCTTCGTTCGTTATGGGATTTTCAATGTTGCGTTTTTTATTGGCAACTGATCCAGTTTCCCGAAATTTAGCTACGAGTTCTAGAACATATTTTCGTTGCACGTTACTGTTCTCATGTCGTTCATTAAACATTTCTGCTGTTCTATTAGCGCACTGATTATTTCAAAAATTTTTTTCGTGAATTTCAACTCTTTCTGCTGTGGAGTATAGCAAGGTTAATTTATGTAATAAGGCGTTACAAGTTATTTTAGCAACAAATCAATCGCAAACTGTGTACTAAATTCCTATTTAAAATAAGTACGAGATATTTCCTTATCTTTCTTCTTTTTTGCCACAAAAAAACGCTCCAATAGCTATTTTCAACAACAAAATGATAAACAAACCATGGGCGTAAGGAAGAAAGCTTACTTATTAAGTAAATTCTTTTAGTCAAATTTCTTCTGAAAGTAGTACAAACTAATCTGATGTACCTAAGTCTACTTTAAGCTTTAAATCAATGAATCTTCAAAACTACTGAACTGAAGCTCAAGTATTTTCCATCATTATAAAGGGAATTGAAAGACCTTTAAAATAAGGTATCACTCGACCCCCCTTTCCACTTAAGATTCTAGGGTTGGTGTCACCCCCGCCCAGGGGGCTGCACGTGTTAACGTGATTTTTTGCCAAACTTGCGTCCGCCTCGAAAACAAAATCGACGGGTTCGAGCGTTTTTCCAAAAAACAACTGTGTTTCGTTTTCGATGCGCCACTCTCTATTTAAATTAACATGACAGTGTCAAGATAATCATAGCTAATCAAGTGTTTCGTCTCAAGGCGCCATCGAAATTAATTTCAACGGTCGAAACTCATTTATAATCAGCCCCCAGGACTGCCTTTTATCAGCTCAGGTGCTCGATCCCAGAACTGTCCAGCGTTGCCGCATGAAATTGTCCAACGAAAAGTCGTGAGACTGAAATCTCGGTAGATCCACAAAATGAAGGTTAAATTGGTCGAAAATGTTTTTGAGAAAATAAATTGTTTTAGAAGTAAATAGTTTCGTCATGTTTAGTTTTTAAAGGCATATTTTGGTACAAATCTTGAAGTGGGCCAACTGAAGTGGGTTGGGGCTCGTACTTATTTTGTTCTCATATAATTTATAATTTATTTCTAAGCATTTTACAGGTTTTTTAAAGCTGCCATTGACCAGATAGAACACAATGGTTTTAACGAGCAATAATATAATAGATTCTAGAAGCTGCACTGAGGTTGAAAAATTACCAGCCCCACATATCGTTTGCGCCTTTCCCCCCCTAGACAAAATCCTAAATCCGCCCTTGCATGAACGAGCCTCACCATGAGACTGGATGAGTTTACTCCACAATAGCGTGACGTAAACTAGGAGGTCCCTTATGGATCGCTGGTGCCGGAAACCGTACTGCGTATCGCTCATCAAGCCCTGACGTTCGAGCTGGTCCAGAAGCTTGTGATTTATGCACTTCTCCATCACATTACTTATAACAGAAAGCAGAGCTATAGGCCTGTAATTGTAAGGGTAGATTCTTTTTGGGGATGGCTTGGACATGAGGAAACTTCCAGTTTCCTGGGAAGGTGCCGGATTCGTAACATATCTGGAAGAGACGCGAAAGAAGTGGAGCAAGCTTCGCTGCACACTTCACCTCTTCAATACACAGGCAGGAACCAGAAGGTTCATTGTAGTTACCTCTCGCATAGGGAGCCCTTTGAATTGAGGGCACTTGGGCGTTGGGGGAGACGTCTATGGTGGAGTTGGCAGCAAGGATCTTGGATAGCACTTCCGCCTTAGCCTTTGAGTCGATTACAATCGTTCCATCCTGACACGTAAGTGGTGGAAGGCTACTTACTGTGTGAGAAGTTCTTTTCAATCTGCTTGGCCAGCGACCAGACAGACCGCCTGTTGTTGCGCTGCGACATTACCCTGTGCCTAACTTTCATATCGTGTTGGTCTTTGGCATTGCGAACCGCTGCGTTATATTTGCTGCTGACGAGACGTGTCGCACGATTTGTTGAACCAGCCGTTGGACCCTGGTTAAGGGATGTATTTCTCCATCCTCGATGAACAGACAGTCGACGCATCCGCGTGATCAAAACAAACATCTCTCCAAGTTTCTGCTGCCACAGCGGGTTCTGACCTCAACCTGACTCCCACAACACTGTCGTCTGAGTTAGCCAGGGTAGACAGTAACAGCTGTTCTGTAAGAGACTGGACGCGTGGTCAGAAAGAGATCCAGCAGGAATACTGGCATGTGACGAAATGCGGAGGAAAAATGTAGGGCAAGGTCAGCCTTTGAGTAATAGCGAACTCATAAAAAATTACGAATACGCTTTCTATTTAGTCATTGTTGATAGAAAAAATATATTTTTGTAGCTAATCCAGATGATTTATAAAGAATTTTCTGATTTAATATGGGAATTAGCTCGTTTGACAAATATACTAAGTGACATATAAATCCGAACACCCAGTTTAAAATGATTGCACTGCTTTAAAGCCCTTTGACCTTTAATAATGTGTGGATGCACCCTGATGTGCTACGCATTCTCCAACGCGCCTAGGCATGCTTCTGATCAGGTGGTCAATGTCCTCCTGTGGTATCTCATTCCAGGCAACCACCAACTCCTCTCGAAGTGCTTCTAGAGTCTGAGGAGGACGTTGCAAATTGGGCAATCTCCTACCCATCATATCCCACACGTGCTCAATTGGGGATAAGTCGGGAGATCTTGGTGTCCATGGTAACAATGTGACATCATTATGTTGAAAGAAGTCTATTGTGACTCTTGCAACATGTGGTCGGGCATTATCTTGTTGGAAAGTTGGATCTGCAAGGGTGTCAAAAGATGGGGTTCTAGAACTTCGTGGATATAACGCTGCGCGTTCATGTTACCTCTGATGAAGATTAAAGGTGACCTGGAACCATAAGCTATAGCACCCCACACCATAACTCCAACAATGTGATGAACATGTCTTTCAACAAAAAACTGTGGATTCCTCCTTTCACCACGTCGCCTTCTAACCCTGGCACGACCATCGTGCATGCCTAAACAAAATCGAGACTCGTCACTAAAGACAATACTGTTCCATTCCTGATCCCAGAGTGACCGTTGTCTGCACCACTCAAGGCGATTACGTCGGTGTTCTCGAGTTAAAGGGAGGACCCAGTGTGGCCGGTATGAAAACAAGCCAAACCTTCTCATTCGTCGGTAAACACTTCGCATGCCAATAGGTCTTCCGTGTTCTGCAGACCATTCATTTGCAATGGACCTGGTAGTGGAGAAACGGTCCCTTAAGGCCAATAATCTTAGGCGGCGATCTTCACGGTCTGTTGTTCTACGGCGGCGTCCAGTACCCCTTGCTCTTTGCGTACGGCCTTCTCGAAGCCATGCCTGACAACACCTAACCACAGTGTCTACACTTCTTTGCACTCTAACTGCAATTGCCCGAAAAGAAAGTCCAGCTTCCCGAAGTCCCACTATACGGCCCCTATCAAACTCACTAAGTTGACGAAATCGTACTGGTCTCCGTACTCTAGGCATCGTAAGCGATCGTAAAGGATGTCAAGAAGCAAAATCCGCCAACGTTGATTCTTTACTGCGGCTGAAATATTCATTTTTAGAGCGTTAGTGAATTAAAAAAAAGCAGTATAAGAACCGGAATGTCCAACTGATAAGGCTGAAAATTTTTTCACTTGTTATTTACAGTAAAATAAATACATTCACCAACTTTTATTAACCCGACAGCGGGCGAACCCCCAAAGTATATTAATCAGGTCGCTGCAGGTCATAGTGACCCGCTAATGTTAGGCCCTATGAATATAGTATAAACAATAAAATTGCGTGATTATTTTCTTAAAGAATTTATTTTCGAACGTAACTAAAGCATATAACCTAACATTGGTATAAAAAAACCTTAAAACCTAAAAGTTAGGTATCTTTCAAAAAAATAAATAGTCTTTTAAGTAATGGTCGATTAATTTTTATTTCTGAAAAAAATCCTACTAAAAATTTATGACAAAAAAATATCCTTGAAACCATTTATAAACTGTATTTATTGGGTGCCCATTTCTAATGAGTATTTTTCAGACGACTCAGTCATGTAAGTTTGCCATGATTTCCATAGATGTATATTTTGCAAATCGCACAAGTGTGATAAGATTTGTTACCAGTTATCGCACATAACTTACATCTCTTCCTTTTTCTTGAATCTTGTTCTGCTTGCTCCTCTTCGGCAGCAGCACGTTCATCTTCCTGGAGAATTTCTATAATGTTGGTCCTGATGAACTTTTTTTGCAATTTGCAGTCGAAATCGCATGTATGGAGATCAATTGTTTTACCATGGTGCATAGTCGATAACAGAACAACAAACTTGCCCTTTTTTGGTATATATGATACCAGCGTTGTACTATTTTTTCCAAAACCAAAAAAAGACGAGCTTACCTCACGATCTTTGCTTTTTATAAAGCAATGAGGGAGCTGAGGTTTGTTTTTCCTTTAGTGTTTGAAATATTTACCTAAATGGCCTTACTAAAAAAATTACAAAAATGGAATTATTATACTTACTTAGGTACTAAAATGCAGGTAATAAACAATAGAACCAAAAATAGTCGCAAAATAATATGACACCGTGTCACGGTGACCCGCAAGAGCTCCGTTCAAGTAGACAGCTCAATGTAAACAAAGCAACATGTACTGAGGTTTGTAGATAAGTAGTTCATAGGAAGGTACCTAAGAGGCGAGCGATGTATCTTAACTAATACGGGAGAGGTAGGGCGTAGAAAATATATGCGGGTCAGAGTGACCCACAGCTACCGCTGTAGGGTTAAAATAAAACCATTTAAACTGTTTTTTTTTTTTTTTTTTTTGGTGAGGGGGGGGAATGCATTTACGCACCATACCATAGCCCGAGCTACGGCGTGTGTGGGACTCCAGGGTCTTGAGGAGATCACCTAATACCCACTAAACCCTAAACCTCCGCGTGGCCCGACTCATCAGCGTCTCGGTAGGCCATGTGTTGTGCGTGACCTGCGGTCTGCTACAACGTCTCCTCATGTGTTTCAGTCTCTGGGAACGCCGGGTTGGTTCCCTTTACCTCGCACATTCTGTCGATGTCGTTAAGCGATCATCGATAGAGGGTCTGCTAGGTTCTCTTGAAACTCTTGTTTTCGAAAAATCAAGAGTTTCAAGTCCTCTTACCAATATGTTGTTCCTGGTCCTGGTCCTGAAGGGTCCTGTTCCTGGTAGGTCCTGGTCGTGGCGGGTCCTGGTCCTGGTTGGTCCTGGTCCCGGTGGGTCCTGGTCCCGGTGGTTCCTGGTCCTCTGCATCCACGCCGTGGGGGGGGGGGGAGCAACCGCGGGTTCTCCTAGTCTCCTAGTCAAGGTTCCAGTTAGCGGGTGCCAACTGGGACCTTGGTCTAGGGTACCTGGTTCTGCGGTTGCGAGGCCTCTCGTCCGGATCGTAGTCCATGAGGAATCGTAGCTGCAGGTTCGGGTGGTCCTGAGCTTTCTCGAAGGTCTTCTCCGCTTTTTTCCTCATGTACTCGTGGATGGTGTCCCAATGCAGGTCTCTACGTAAGGTTGAGTTTCTTACGTAGGATGGTGCACTGGTGGCGATCCGGAGTAGCTTCATCTCTAGAGCAGCAAGTCGCTTGCGGTAGCTGGGGGCAGCGTACCCCCAGACCGCGGAGGCGTAAGCGAGCCGAGGTCTGGCGATGGCCTTGATCAGCCGTAGCTTGGTCGCTAGCGGCATTCGGCTGTGTCTACCCAGTAATGGGTAGAGTTGAGCCATGGCTGCTCTGGTCTTTGCGATGACAGCTTCTATGTGGGCTTTCCAGGTGAGGGACTTGTCAAATACGATCCCCAGATATTTGACTTTGTCGCTCCACTGGATATCTTCGTCGAAGATGGATGCTTCGAGAGGTCTTGCAATCCTTCTTCGTTGAATGAAGATTGCCTGCGTCTTCTGGACGTTGATGCGGATTTATATGTATATATTAGGAGGAATCGACTGTATTCATTTGATCCATTACTAGAAAGACAGCGTCTCATTGGCCTATTCTGGTCCGGATCAAGATTTTAGATTCCGCAGGTCAATAGCAAAACCGAGCCATATGCATGACCTGTAATGCCTTTTAATTTTAGGATAAATGCGGCAACAAATTACTTTAGACTATGTAGGAGAATCAGTGCAAAGCCGATTGATCCGCCTTGAATTAGGAACACCAGGAAACCATCTGATTGCACTACAATGGCACACATACATACAAACATCGTATTTGGGTGCTTTGCGATTCTAATTCGACCTACACGATTACCCGATAATGCACCGTTGAGCCGTAAAGCTATTTCTTTAATCTACATCTCCTATGTTATAACAGTTTCTTATAAAAGCTGCAACTTTGAATGCATTGTGTTTAGTTAATTCACATGCCTATCATCGGGAATATGAAAAACGTAAGTTCACGAATCGCCTGAATATTGGATGTTGTTTTTCGGAATATTGGAAATAGTGAATAGTTTGTAGTGCTTTTTTTGAAAAAGCAAAGTGTTTTGTGTCGTAGACTAGTGGAGTGTTATATGTGCGTTTTGGATAGAACATGTATTGGAACGAGTTCTACAGGGTGTTGAAAAATGTTGTGAGGAAAGGGTTAGGGTTCGTCAGCGGACTTCCCTGGCACAAATCGGACCTATGAAATTTTTGGATTAAATATATCAAAACGTAAACGGCTTAAGCTTTCATCATCATTTTTTAGTACTTGAAGCCCAAATTTCGCGTTTTTGTAATTTGTGTCTAAAAATAAAGAAGCCTAAATGTCATCACACCGCGGCTGCTATGAAGGTCCCGAAGAAATTTTGTTGATCCGATTTTTTAACGACCTAATGTTAATAGAACTGGGAAAAGCTTCCTGTTGTAGATTGTTCTACGATCTCGTCACGCTCGCGACAAAGGAGCGGTCGTATCGGCCAGTTCTGGCTGTACGAAGTTCGACACGGTTAGGATGGGAGGTCGAAGTCAGGCGGGTCTGTTTGGCAGGCACATCGCGCGGCGGCAAGATGGAGCAAAGCCCGTAGGCGCATCTATGAAATTTTTGGATTAAATATATCAAAACATAAACGGCTTAAGCTTTCATCATCATTTTTCAGTACTTGGTTGCTCTTTGATGCCCAAACTTCGCGTTTTTGTAATTTGTGTCTAAAAATAAAGAAGCCTAAATGCGATCACACCGCGGCTGCTATGAAGGTCCCGAAGAAACCTTGTTGATCCGATTTTTTAACGACCTAATGTTAATAGAACTGGGAAAAGCTTCCTGTTGTAGATTGTTCCACAATCTCGTCACGCTCGGGACAAAGGAGCGGTCGTATCGGCCAGTTCTGGCTGTACGAAGTTCGACACGGTTAGGATGGGAGGTCGAAGTCAGGCGGGTCTGTTTGGCAGGCACATCGCGCGGCGGCAAGATGGAGCAAAGGAGAAAAATACTTGTTAGCCCTATTCCAGATATGTTTGAATAAGCCCATTATAATATATAATCTATGATAAAATACACTGAGATACAACACATACATAAAAACGAGGACGTTGTGCCATTTCGATGACAATAAAAAAAAGTTGAAATTCTCGTTACATTTTCATTTATTTCAAGCTTTGTTTTTATTGTGAACGGATGACGCAAAACGCCGCAATTTTGTTTACGCTTTTTGTCTCGGTTCGTTTTGTTATAGATTTGAGGTAATGGACTACGCGCTCGTATAAAAACAATTCGTATTTGAACATGGGTGAATTTTGTGGATCTCGAGCAATTGAAGAATAATTAAGATCTAAAATAAAGAGAAAAATTGAACTCCTGAAACTTATCCTTGGCTTTCATGAGAAGTTTTGGCTTGTTTTCATACCGGCCACACTGGGTCCTCCCTTTAACTCGAGAACACCGACGTAATCGCCTTGAGTGGTGCAGACAACGGTCACTCTGGGATCAGGAATGGAACAGTATTGTCTTTAGTGACGAGTCTCGGTTTTGTTTAGGCATGCACGATGGTCGTGCCAGGGTTAGAAGGCGACGTGGTGAAAGGAGGAATCCACAGTTTTTTGTTGAAAGACATGTTCATCACACTGTTGGAGTTATGATTTGGGTTGCTATAGCTTATGGTTCCAGGTCACCTTTAATCCTCATCAGAGGTGACATGAACGCGCAGCGTTATATCCACGAAGTTCTAGAACCCCATCTTTTACCCTATCTTGACACCCTGGCAGATCCAACTTTCCAACAAGATAATGCCCGACCACATGTTGCAAGAGTCACGATAGACTTCTTTCAACATAATGATGTCACATTGTTACCATGGCCACCAAGATCTCCCGACTTATCCCCAATTGAGCACGTGTGGGATATGATGGATAGGAGATTGCTCAACTTGCAACGACCTCCTCAGACTCTAGAAGCACTTCGAGAGGAGTTGGTGGTTGCTTGGAATGAGATACCACAGGAGGACATTCACCACCTGATCAGAAGCATGCCTAGGCGCGTTGGAGAATGCGTAGCACATCAGGGTGCATCCACACATTATTAAAGGTCAAAGGGCTTTAAAGCAGTGCAATCATTTACTTATTATGCTTCATTAAGCACTTATACAAAATTTTATTAAAATAAAATCATTTAAACTGGGTGTTCGGATTTATATGTCACTTAGTATATATATACAGGATGTCTCGAAATTTAAGGATAATCCTGCAACTGTAGATGGGTCACGTCATGGGTCATACTAGATGGTGAAAATTTGTTTCATTAAAAGTCTTACAGTTTTCGAGATTTTCAGCATTCAAAAACTGGCTTATATTCAGTTAATATCGGGCCCACTTCTAAAATATCAACTTTTTGAACCAGGTCCGCTTTAAAGCACTCAAAATTAAGCATTTTAACTCGTCCAGTATTATTATTTTTTGAGGTGGCGAAAAACCCATTTAAAAGTCATAACGAAGTTTGAATTTTTATTAAAACCCTTTCTCACGTCTGACTTTGACACCCCGTAGAGTACACGTACAATCACAGTGCCAATTTGTCGAATAAACTGGCCAACTTAAGGCAATTTTTAAGTTTATCATTGTTATTCGCCATTCGTCAAACGGATCAGCGCTTGCTTACGTTTATATGAGCTTTTTTTCATATTATTATAACCATCCTTCCATCACCTTGTTTTTTCATATGGACGCAATATAGGAATTTTGTACATTTAAATGGAGCTTTTAGTCCTCAATATTTAAGGGTGTGAATCTATATGAAAAATTAATGTTAGTTTGCTCTATTAACTATGGTCCAAAAACGTTTCGTTACAAAAACTCGGGGTGTTGAAGTTTTAGGAAAAAATGTTAATTAATTAATATTTTCAAAACCGCTTCAGATATTTGACTGATATTTAGTACGTAGTGAAAGTTAATAAAGTTTTTTTCAAAACAAAAATAATTTTTAGCTTGAACAGTGGCGTGCGTACGCGTATTGACTTCGATATTTTTTAAGGAAAAAATAATACGCTAACGGTTTTTTTACTCAAAAATGGCGTATCGAAGGAAAACAAATCAAGAAATCATTTGTTTTAAATTGAACGGGGAATCCAAAAATAATTTTTATTTGGCGCTGAACCATTGGCGTACCATTTTTTTCTTAAAAAATATTGAAGTCACGTACGCACGCCACTGTTCAAGCTAAAAATTGTTTTTGCATTGAAAAATATGAAGCTCTATCAAAATTCACTACGTACTAAATATCAGTGAAATATTTGAAGCGGTTCTGAAAGTATTATTTTTGATTTTTTTCCTAAAACTTCACCACCCCGAGTTTTTCTAAGGATACATTTTTGGACCATAGTTTATGAAGCAAACTAACATTAATTTCTCATGTAGTTTCACACCCTTAAATATTCGCATATCATTAAGGAACGCCCTGTATATTTCCTTATATGGTCATGAATTTGTTGTTGGAATGAAAAATGTACGGAAATAAAAAAGGATCGTGAAACCTGAACACGAAATCAAAAATTTATCGTTCACAACCTGATCCGTCATTTCGTACGCAAGGACTGACTCTTCTACGTACATTGTTGCCAGATTTCGCCTAGCATCACGCTCGGCAAAGTTACAGCGCTAGGGAACTTCAATTTTGAAGCAACTCTCGTATCAGCTAGTTCGTCTTGCTTTTTGCAACAAAAAATATTGGTCACATTGTGCATACAAATTTCATTCTCGACAAGATATGCGCGAGCTTCCATTATCCAACGGCTCGTAAATGCCTGGGCAAGCAGTGACGAGTATGTTTATTTTAACGCGAAACAATTATGTAGACCTCCCCACCTTATAATTGAAATAGATTATTCTTCCAGATACTCCTTCCTCTTCTAGTACCGCTAGCGTTAGCTACGAGCAAAGAAGAAGGTTCAGAAAACGACGTCCAAGACACCATCCGCCACTACCAAGTCCACGAAAGCGCCCAGGAAGACCCTGAGTTCAATCATGACCTGCCCAAATGGTACACTGGAGACCACGATTTCAGCCATTACAGCCAGTATCATCCTTTGGGCTTCTTAGCCCAGTACGCCACCTATACTCCTGCTAAGCATTACCCAACATATACTTCTAATCATGATATAGACCATAACGATTTGAGTGTGGATCATGATCATAGCAGTGAAGATAACGCACCAGCCTCGTTTCTGGACATAGCTCCTTCAACAGAGTATAATACTTACCATCCTTCAGTGGACAGCTCAGATCATATATCTCATCACTATGTCCCTCCGCATATCCCAGATAAGGCTTACTATGAGGTACATGAAGATATAGATGAGAGTGACAATCCCTACAATCCGCATCACGATCACGATAGTGGAGAACACCACATTCCTGATACATCCCACCACCTCCATACCGATTCCGGAGAACACCATATTCCTGATACTCATGTGAGTCATCACAATGTTGATAGTGGGGAACACCATATTCCTGATACATCCCACCACCTCGATACCGGTTCCGGAGAACACCATATTCCTGATACTCATGTGAGTCATCACAATGTTGACAGTGGGGAACACCATATTCCTGATACATCCCACCACCTCCATACCGATTCCGGAGAACACCATGTTCCTGATGCTCCTGTCAGTCATCACATACCTTCATCTGGACTCCATGTTGATAGTGGGGAACACCATCTTCCTGAAACGCATGGCAGTGGAGATACAGGGACATATCTGCCTCCAATAACACGTCATCTTGGTTCTTCAGTCCAGCATGTGGAAGGTCATCATATTCCGGATACCAGTGACCACCACGTTCTATCTTCAGAACATTACGTTAATAGTGGAGGGAGCTATGTACCATCAACAAGTCATCACGTATCTTCATCAGGATACCATACTCCTTCTTCAGGAACGTCAGGACATCATGTGGATCACGTTCCTGATTCTGGAAGCCATGATGGAAGCTCAGGACATTATGATCCTTTGTCAGAACACGATCATGAGCTAGCTCATCACATTCCCGATTCGGGGAAGCATGGTGGGATCTCGAGGCACCACATACCTGACTCAAGTAACAATATACAGAGTGGTCCGGATGTCCACATTGAAGACGAGCATGGTCGTCACGACGCGGTTGACCACCCTGGTTCGGACATCCATTCTGACGCGCATCTATCGTCTTTGCACGTGTCGAATGGTTCGGAGGAAGACGGTCACCAACAAAGTGATGAAGCGGATGATGGTAGAGGTGAAAAGAGTGAAGAAACGGTGAGTATTAATGTTTGTATTAGTAAGGAGTGTTCCTTGATTTTGCTCAAGTTGGATGTCTTCTTGGACCTGCTGAAGATGATTGAGACTTGAGGTCTTCAACGACTTTGATCAGTGGTGGCAAAAACACCAGAAAAATAAAAATCGCTTAGACTTCGTTTTTTGATGTTTCAAAAGCTTCATTTTTCGGAAAAATTTTTGTGGGGGTTGAAACATTGAACGGGGTAAGGAGCTGTAAATCTAACGTCTTTAAAATCAGTTGAAGACTCTGTGTCATTGAGAAGCCGGTAGCAACGAGAAAATTAAACGATAAAAGTCCGATGTGTAATGAACTCTGCGATGCTTTTGTGAATTATGATGTAGTACCCCCGCTCGCCGCGCCCTCTCACCTTCTTCCTCTCCAGCTCCTTACCTGCAAATTCTCATTTTCTTCAAAGCCAATTGGGTGATACATATGGATCTAGGAAGCTATTCACTTCGACAAGACCTTCACATAATTAAAATCGAACATCACTTACAGATAAAGTCGTTATTCCATTATGTTCTGGTCTCGTCTCGTAAATAGAACAGTTGTAGATGTTTAAAGCGAGTTGCAATAACATATACTAAGTGACATATAAATCCGAACACCCAGTTTAAATGGTTTAATTTTAATAAAATTTTGTATAAGTACTTAATGAAGCATAATAAGTAAATGATAAAAATTTCAAAATGATTGCACTGCTTTAAAGCCCTTTGACCTTTAATAATGTGTGGATGCACCCTGATGTGCTACGCATTCTCCAACGCGCCTAGGCATGCTTCTGGTCAGGTGGTCAATGTCCTCCTGTGGTATCTCATTCCAGGCAACCACCAACTCCTCTCGAAGTGCTTCTAGAGTCTGAGGAGGACGTTGCAAATTGAGCAATCTCCTACCCATCATATCCCACACGTGCTCAGTTGGGGATAATGGGGATAAGTCGGGAGATCTTGGTGGCCATGGTAACAATGTGACATCATTATGTTGAAAGAAGTCTATTGTGACTCTTGCAACATGTGGTCGGGCATTATTTAGTTGGAAAGTTGGATCTGCCAGGGTGTCAAGATACGGTAAAAGATGGGGTTCTAGAACTTCGTGGATATAACGCTGCGCGTTCATGTTACCTCTGATGAAGAATAAAGGTGACCTGGAACTATAAGCTATAGCACCCCAAACCATAACTCCAACAGTGTGATGAACATGTCTTTCAACAAAAAACTGTGGATTCCTCCTTTCACCACGTCGCCTTCTAACCCTGGCACGACCATTAATAATGTGTGGATGCACCCTGATGTGCTACGCATTCTCCAACGCGCCTAGGCATGCTTCTGGTCAGGTGGTCAATGTCCTCCTGTGGTATCTCGTTCCAGGCAACCACCAACTCCTCTCAAAGTGCTTCTAGAGTCTGAGGAGGACGTTGCAAATTGAGCAATCTCCAACCCATCATATCCCACACGTGCTCAATTGGGGATAGGTCGGGATATCTTGGTGGCCAGGGTAACAATGTGACATCATTATGTTGAAAGAAGTCTATTGTGACTCTTGCAACATGTGGTCGGGCATTATCTTGTTGGAAAGTTGGATCTGCTAGGGTGTCAAGATAGGGTAAAAGATGGGGTTCTAGAACTTCGTGGATAGAACGCTGCGCGTTCATGTTACCTCTGATGAAGATTAAAGGTGACCTGGAACCATAAGCTATAGCACCCCAAACCATAACTCCAACAGTGTGATGAACATGTCTTTCAACAAAAAACTGTGGATTCCTCCTTTCACCACGTCGCCTTCTAACCCTGGCACGACCATCGTGCATGCCTAAACAAAATCGAGACTCGTCACTAAAGACAATTCTGTTCCATTCCTGATCCCAGGGTGACCGTTGTCTGCACCAATCAAGGCGATTACGTCGGTGTTCTCGAGTTAAAGGGAGGACCCAGTGTGGCCGGTATGAAAACAATCCAATCCAATGGACCTGGTAGTGGAGAAACGGTCCCTTAAGGCCAATAACCTTAGGCGGCGATCTTCACGGTCTGTTGTTCTACGGCGGCGTCCAGTGCCCCTTGCTCTTTGCGTACGGCCTTCTCGAAGACATGCCTGACAACACCTAACCACAGTGTCTACACTTCTTTGCACTCTAACTGCAATTGCCCGAAAAGAAAGTCCAGCTTCCCGAAGTCCCACTATACGGCCCCTATCAAACTCACTAAGTTGACGAAATCGTACAGGTCTCCGTACTCTAGGCATCGTAACCGATCGTAAAGGATGTCAAGAAGCAAAATCCGCCAACGTTGATTCTTTACTGCGGCTGAAATATTCATTTTTAGAGCGTTAGTGAATAAAAAAAAAGCAGTATAAAAACAGGAATGTCCAACTGATAAGGCTGAAAATTTTTTCACTTGTTATTTACAGTCAGATAAATACATTCACCAGCTTTTATTAAAATAAAACCATTTAAACTGGGTGTTCGGATTTATATGTCACTTAGTATAGTTTGAGATACCATTTTCCTTTTTATTTCTTAGTAATGGACGCTAATATTGTTTCTAGAAAAATGTGAAGTACAATTTTGGCTACGGAGTTCACGACCCAAGCACTGGCGATCACAAATCACAATACGAGGAACGAAACGGTGACCAAGTGTCAGGCCAATATATGCTGAAGGAACCTAACGGGAAGTATCGGATTGTCAAATATTCTGCGGCGCCGGAGACTGGATTCCAGGCTAAAGTTGAGTATGTCAACGCCTAAAATGGACATTTGAAACTTTATACAGTCAGAGCATCTGTATTACTTACTTTTCGTACCATTTTGCTGGACTGCTTGATCTCTTTAGGAACCATTCCTTTTAGAATTATGTACTTGTTTTAATGAAACATGTGGAAGTTACCCTGTGTCGATAATACCCCAAGGTTTTCAAGACAATAAAAACCACACAAAGAGATATTCATCTTCAGTACAATGACAATATATGAATTTTTTGTCCTGTTTTTTTTCTCATGGTTTGTTATTGCGTCTCAAACGCGAAGATGTTCTGCTTTGCCATCTCAAGTCCAAAGTGTTGTGTCTTATATAATTTTCTCAGATGACAAACAACTTGGTTCCCTTTAGATGTTGAAGTTGCATTTCTCACGTTTCAGATGCAAAACAATGCACTTTTGCAGAATGTTGATCGAATAACAGTCATGGGTGGGATTCTGTTTTTCTTTTTTGGCGTTTTCGGGACGATGGACGAGAGTGATTTATCTGGTAAATTAAAAAACGACGGATATCCTCATACTCGATCGTCGTTTTGGAGAGCTGGACGTCCTTTTTGAGGAACGGAAGTGCCTACCCTAGGCGGCCCTGAGGGCGATGCTGGTTTTGCGTGGTGACGCCTAAAAACGGGACTTTCAGACTTTAAGAAGTAACACGTTGTAGAGAGAGATACAAGGTCGCACCCCCAGTTGTGACGCTCCTGTTATATTTTGGAAAAAACACTCGGACATGTCAATATCGATTGCATCTATAGCCGTATAATACAGGGTGATCCAAAAATAATGTAGTGCGCTACACTTTAGATTTTTTAATGGAAACCCCTAATAAACATCCGGGATCTTGCAATGCTTCCTTTTTGGTAATACAGTAATGTTATTTCTACCCTTTCTTGAATTGAATAAGTCATTGTTTAATATTTATCACAGGTAATTTAACCATTTGAACTGAAAGACCAAGTTTTTCTATGGCATACGATGACACTGACTGATGCTAAATGTTTTTGCTGGTATCGATGATTAAAATAGCTTCACAACGATTGAAGATAAGCTTTATTATACAAAAGTTACTAAAAACTTCATGGAAAATCTTACAATCAAAAAAAATTGGGGTGTCCATTTTCTATTTAAAAATCTGTAAGTGTAATGGACTATCTTATTTTTGGATCGCCCTGTACTGTACGGCTATAGATGAAAAGGTCGCGTCTTTTGGAAAATATACGAGGAGAGTCACAAATAAGGAGTGCGACCTTTTCGTCTGGCCACCCAGTACATTGTTCTTGTACTGAAGAACCTTTGTTATTAGAACGTTTATAGTGAAGGAGACTATCAATACATGTGTTTTTTATCGGCCAGACGAGCACGGGGGATTTACTTGTTAATTTTTGTTTTGTGATATCAACTACAACAGCATGTTTTCAATTTTCTCTAACTTTTTGGAAGACCGAGTAGAAAAAAGTATAGGGTCTAACATAAAGTTCATCATGCATTCTCAAAGTTCAGTTTGTAGCGCAGTTTATAATGCGAAGTCAAAAATTGTCACTGTCACAACTGGGCCTTATGATAAATATCTGAATGCTTTTATTTTGTTATATAGGGTGATTTTTTAAGAGGTATAGGATTTGATTTTCAAAAAAAAACACAAAAAATTTGAAAAAACGATCAAATCTTTATTTGAGTCGATAGAACGGTCGATATAATTTAATGTTTAAAGATTATTTCATGTAAATGTTGGCCGCGGCTCCGCTTTAGATCGCCCATGCGCATGGTCCAATTTTGGCACACTCTCTCCAACATATCGGCCGGTATCTCACGAATAAATGCTTCAATATTGGCTTCCAGTGCGTCAATCGTTGCTGGTTTATCCCTGTAGACATTAGCCTTAACATGGCCCCACAAGAAATAGTCCAACGGCGTTAAATCACACGATCTAGGCGGCCAATTGACGGGCCCCAAACGTGAGATAAACTGTTCACCGAACACTCTCAATAGGGTCGTTGTTTCGTATGCGGTGTGGCATGTGGCACCGTCTTGTTGAAACCACATATCAGCCAAGTCCAGCTCTTCCATTTTGGGCACCAAACAGTGATTTTTTCCGGGATGCATTGGTAGCTCTTGCAATGCTTCTGGCTGGTCTTCACTCCAGATGCGGCAATTTTGCTCGTTAACGTACCCATTCAAGCAGAAATGAGCTTCGTCGCTGAACACCATGCATGAATTTTGATAGTAAAATTCAATAATTGGCAAGCGTCGTTAGTTCGTAAGTCGATTCATGGTTAAATTATAGACCAAACTGAACAAGTTTGACAATGACATAAGACACGATTCATGCGTCATCTGTCAGAAACAGTGTTGCCAAAAAGATACTAGCAAAAAAATCACCCATTATTACTAATGCTTTATTTTTTTACATCACCATACTAATTCTGTATATCGAAATACCTGCATTCGAATCACTTTTCCTTCACGCATTTCTCTATATCTTTTGCACGTTCTACTGTTTTTCGTTCTTTGCAAACGTATGGAAACATCTGATGTAGTTGGCGTCCGTTTTTATTTATGTATTTATTATATTATGTAAGTTTTTATACTGTCGTAGATTTAATAAACTGTTTTTACGATGCATCGTATCATTATTTCCACACTTTAAGTACCCTTGACAGGTAAAAATGAAACCAGCGGATTAACTTATAATGTAGGTTTTATTATGATTTAAAAACAACAAACATTTGGCACAATAATAATACTAAAATTAATATTTGGTCTCACAGCTCGTCTTACTTAACTAAACTTTATTTACAAATTAGTACTGACCTGATATGGTTGAATTAATGCTTAAAACTAATTAACAAATTCCTGATATATCTATATTTACAAAAAAAAAATGAGACGGTATAAAATAGGGGTTTACTTCAAACTGCGTATACAATCCATCCAAAAAACGGTAAAACGAAATAGTACTTTTCATAAAAATGAAATTTTACCAATATAAACTAATTATAAGCGTATCATAAGATTCACTTAGAATAACTATGACCTACTATAATAAATAAGTACAAGCAAATTCATTAACCAGAATTTCAGCTTGTTAACTTGAGCCGTTTCAAAAATAACAGGGAGGGGGTACTTTTTTAAAAAGCACTGTAAATTGAAGTAATCAAGAATGTATTTTTATGGGTATTATTCCGAGAAGCTGTTTAATAGGATTCTGAGACATCAGACAACGTATAAGTTCTCCAATAATCCTTGCATGATTCAATTTGTAGGCTAGAAGTAACTGAAAATGCAAGTCATACGAGGGTGTCCCGATAACTACTTAGCCTTACCGCCCGATGGCGCCACTATCGCAAGAGGAATTTACTATCGCGTAGTAGATTCTCCAGGACGGCTTCTGTCACAATTTCAGCCAAAGCGGACTTGTAGTTTTATTTTAACCGCGTGTAAAGGAAAAAAAGCAAAATCGGTCGGTGATTCGATTCTTGTTTTTGGAAGTGAAATTGCGCAGGGAAATCAAAGAGCATTTTGGTGCTGTATCCGGCGACTCTTCTCCTTGGATCGTCACCGTTAAAAATTGGTTTAACGTGGTTTCTGATGAGCCATGCCCAGGCCACCCGAAAACGGTTACCACGGAGGATAACGTGACAAAAATCCACGATCTCGAGACATGTGTAGCCAATTTAATTCAGTTTGGAAAAACAAGAATCGAAAGATGTCTTTACCAAGCTTTTAGGCAGCACACTTCTAGATACCGCATGTTTTTTAACAAAACAGGAATTACCGTTCATTTTGAAGTGGATGACTCTGACAATAGAGGAAATTACATGGAATTGTTAACATGCATTGCCAAAAAAGATCAAAAATTTTCCGAACATCTAGAAACGTCGACTCTTTTTTCGGACGGCTTGGATTAGTCATAGCATAAGACGATATACCTTATGTAAGCAAGAACTTATACTTGGGTTCAAAATAAACTTTTTTTAATAAAATTTTCCACAGCTGGTTTTGGTAACAGTTTAAGAAAAGTCACGCGTCGCCACTGTCTCTACTTTTTGGAACTGGAAACACCATTTCATTTTAAACGCAATGAAATAGACATTTATGAATTTACGTTGCACTGATTAACCAGAGACACGTGTATACATAATTTTTACATGTAAAACTACAGCTACTGGAAGGTACAACACAATCTGTTCTATTGACTCACTTCGTTATCAATAAATCCCAGACCTGCTACAATAATTTTCTAGCGAACTTCCTATTTTACTGTTAAAACTTTCAGTCACATATGTAGATATGTGAAAAACGGCTCTGGATACGGTCCTGAGCTTTAACTCATTATTATCAACGTTGGAGCCAAATACAGAGATGCCACTTGCTGATCAGCTGTTGACCTTAGTAAACGTCAAAACATAGTATAATCATATTAGCAAATTCCCCCGAAATAATCGTAAAGCCTGGTCTTATTGGTGTAAATTGTTCAAGGAGGTATTTAAAATATGGAGGGTATACCAATTTTTGTGAGAGAGCCTTTTCTTCGGCAACAAAGAATGAGAAAACGTGTTTTTTTATGGCAAAATACACTAGTTTACCATGCCGATATCAATCACAAACCATTCCGGAAAATATATATATTTTTGTATACAGGGTGTTTCAGTTTATTGTTGCATAACTTTAAGATTCGATAGAACTTTTAAAATTAATGCATAAAGTCTATATAAACATGGGTCGACAATGCGTGGCTTCAGAAATACAGGGGGTTTAAATTTACTTTAATAGTTTTTTTTAAATATTTCGAACAATATTTGATGTATAACAGTGAAAATTGGTATACGAGGGTTTTTTGGTACGGTAAAACGAACCATGGGCATAGTTTTACTGTAGCCGATAGAGGGCGCTCTCTACTGTACCTGTAGTGTATTAAAATGACCGAAAAAATTTTCTTACTGCAATTTTTTGCGTTTTGAATAAAACAGCTGATTCTTCGCACTTTTCTGCATAAAAAAGCTCTCCTGTGAGTTTTCGTTATAGCTAGCCGTTTTTGAGATATTTCGATTTTTAAGGTTCGATGCATTTGTAATTATTAAGGAAAATAATATTTTTTTTTGCAAAAAAACGTTTCAGGTTTCAACAGACAACAAAACTAACTGTCAACTAATTGACGTTTAACCTTATTCTGCTTTCAATTTCAAAAGTATTTGCAGGCACAGCCTACTTCTAAAAATTAACGTTATTTTAACAAATAATAAAAAATGCATCGAACCTTAAAAATCGAAATCTCTCAAAAACGGCTAACTATAACGAACATTCACAAGAAATCTTTTTTATGCTGAAAAGGACGTAGAATCAGTTTTTTGATTCAAAAAGCAAAAAATTGCACTAAGAAAAATTTTTCGGTCATTTTAATACACTACAGGTACAGTAGAGAGCGCACTCTAGCGGCTACAGTAAAACTATGCCCATGGTTCGGTTTGTCGTACCAAAAAACCCTTGTATACCAATTTTCACTGTTATACATCAAATATTGTCCAAAATATTTAAAAAAAAACTATTTTAGAAAGTAAATTTAAACACCCTGTATTTCGGAAGCCACGCTTTTTTCGACCCATGTTTATATAGACTTTATGCATTAATTTTAAAAGTTCTATCGAATCATAAAGTTATGCAACAATAAACTGTATAAATAATATTTATCTTCCGGAATGGTTTGTGATTGATATCGGCATGGTGAACTAGTGTATTTTGCTATAAAATTCCCTTTGAACAAACCCTGTATATCGCTCTATAAACTAGTAGTGATGGCCGGAAAACAGGGGATAAGCTATTAGAAATTCTGAAAAACTACTTGACCAATCTAACTCCAATTTTGTTGTGGTTATTTAGTGCCATAACTTTTTTGCTAATAGTTGAATCTTTTTACGTGTGGTCTCATTTAAATACCCACAAATTTAAAATGAAGAGTTTTTCGTTCCTGTCGACACTTTCGATTGAATCCCAAAAACAAGTTTTCTCATCGATAAAACCAGACTTTACAGTTATTCCACAAACCAGAGGTATTTTCGTCTAATATGATCAGACTAAATTGATACTCGTAAAATACGGTTTAAGTTGAGATTTATGACCGGTCTCGAGGACTTCAGTAAAGAATACTCGACATGTGCAGATCAGACTTAACATTAGCAATCAGATACAACATCATCTTCAGCGTCAGAATCCTAAAATAATTGTTCAGGTGAAATTGTTTGTTGACTTTCTTATTGGGAAAAAACTCCACGTTGACAGAAAGCTTAACGCTTGCTTTATTTTTCTGCAATCCATCAACCAAAACTTCTAATTGACAATATGAACCTACTCTAACCCGGCTCTAATAGGAGTCAAACGCAATGGACGCCAAAGTCTTCTGTCTAGCTAACACAAAAGTTTGAACGGATTATCCATATGATACCTTTGGTTTCAACGTCAATCGAAAACAACTTCCGGTTCTGGATCAATGTACGTTCCCCCCGCTATCCGCTTGGTCCAATAGTTCGTACAAAGCGGAGATGTAAGTTTGGGCCATTTGTAGTGTTTCGTACTTTGAGAGTTGCCTATCTTGGCCGAGCTGGGGTAGAAAAGTTCTCAGCCTATCGAAAGCCTGGTTCAGGTTTTGCATTCTGCGGCGTTCTCGCGCATTTGCTGCTAGCCTGCGCTTGCGGAGAACCAAGGCTGTCACCTGGAAAGAAAGAAAACCGATTATGACCTTGAGTCGATTTGGAAGAAGGCTTGGTCTAAGATTTGAATTTAAGTTTAATAAAGAGTGAGGTTAAGATTCAGTGCTGGCGTTCGATCCGCGCGGCCTACTATGTTTCTATATGCAAAACTTAAAAGACATCCCTCGTATGATAAAATGAAAGTTCTATTTTTCAAAAGCATAGATACTAATCTTACTTAACCCGACAGCGGTCGCACCCCCAAAGTATATTAATCAGATCGCTGCGGGTCATAGTGACCCGCTAATGTTAGGCCCTATAAATTTAGTATAAACAATAAAATTGCTTGATTATTTTTTTAAAGATTTCATTTGCGAAGGTAACTAAAGCATATAACCTAACGTTGGTATAGAAAAACCTTAAAATCTAAAAGTTAGGTATCTTTCAAAAAAATAGCTAAAAACTATTGACCCCAACCACATCCAGAAGATGAAAAAAGGCTGAAAGGGGCCATCTGTTGGTTTTCCTGGCTGTTGAGTATGTGCCACACATCTCGTCTACTACATCAACCCCACCCTTTGTGCAATTGTAAAATGTGATAATCTCTGGTTTTCGGGCGGCACTACTAACAAGATGAATTGTTTTACCATGGTGCATAGTCGATAACGGAACAACAAACTAGCCCTTTTTTGGTACATGTGATACCAGCGTTGTACTATTTTTTCCAAAACCAAAAACAAACGAGCTTACCTCACGTCTTTTTTTTTTATATCGAAACAGCCGCGCAGGCAGAAGCCTAAATGCCGGAACACCGCGGCTGCTATGATGATCCCAAAGAAATTTTGTTAATACGATTTTTGAACTGCCTAAGGTTAGTATAACTGGGAAAAGCTTCCTCCCGTAGATTGTTCCACAATCTAGACACCCTCGGGACAAAGGAGCGGTCGTATCGGCCAGTTCTGGATGTACGAAGTTTGACACGGTTAGGATGGGACGAAGAAGTCAGGCGGGTCTGTCTGGCAGGCACATCGCGCGGCGGCATCATAGAAGAGAGCTCTGAGGAGCAAAGCCCGTTGGTGTAGCGATAGAAAAGAGCTAGATCGCCGACGGCCCGCCGGTGCGAAAGAGTCCCGATACTGTCTGTTAGAGAAGAGTCATCAATCAGTCGGACCGCCCTCCTCTGGACAGCATCGAGCATGGACAATGTAGTCGGTGCGGCAGCACCCCAAATGTGTGAGCAATACTCGAGGCTAGGCCTTATCTGGGCCTTGTATAGAGTGAGAAGGTCATGCGGAGAAAAGTACTTCTTAGCCCTAAACAAATAGCCTAGCTTTTTCCCAGCAGCTGCAGCTATTGAAGAGATGTGTTCGTGCCAGATCAGGTCCTCGGTGATCTGGACTCCGACCAGCCGAAATTAATGGCTCTTTGGTAGAACTCGACCGTCCATCGAAACTGTATGAGCACTAGGACGCTTTTTGTTCGTCAAAGTACAGTACTGTGTTTTGGAAGCATTGAACTGTACAAGATTGTTGCGTCCCCAAGCAGTGATAGCCTCCAGGTCTCTTGTCAGAGAAGAAGTCGTCGCTAGTCTTCTTTTTTCCAGCTCAGCGGCAGAGATCGGCTTGTCACTCTGAATTCCTGCATGTAGAGTGCTGTCATCAGCGAAGCTGTGTATTGGGTTGATCGTGCAGGAAAGGAGGTCGTTGATATGTAAGAGAAACAGTGTTGGAGCCAAGACCGATCCCTGGGGAACACCCGCGTTGACGTTGTGGGATGAAGAGGAGAATCCGTCAATTACGCCGGATATCTTGCGGCCAGAGATAAAGTCAGCCACCCATCTGCAAAGCTTTTCTGGGAGGCCATAGGATGGAAGTTTGCTTAAGAGGGCAGCGTGCCACAGCTGATCGAACGCTTTCGTGATGTCAAGAGCAACGACATGAGCCTCACCATGAGACTGGATGAGTTTACTCCACAGTTGCGTGACGTAAGCTAGGAGGTCCCCTGTGGATCGTTGGTGCCGGAAACCGTACTGCCTGTCGCTAATCAAGCTGTGACGTTCGAGGTGTCCAGAAGCTCGCGATTTATGCACCTCTCCATCACTTTACTTATAACAGAAAGCAGAGCTATAGGCCTGTAGTTGTGAGGGTCGGTTTTAGATCCTTTTTTTGGGATGGGCTGTACATGAGCAAATTTCCAGTTTTCTGGGAAGGTGCCGGATTCATAAGATATCTGGAAGAGACGCGAAAGAACTGGAGCAAGCTCCGCTGCACATCTCTTCAGTACAATGGCAGGAATCAAGTCCGGACCAGAAGCTTTGTTGATGTCGAGCAACAAGAGCACTCGTCTTACGGTCTTATGCCTGAATGTTACCTCCCGCATAGTGTGGGGAACCCTTTGAATTGACGGCACTTGGGCGTTGGTGGGGACGTCCATGTTGGAGTTGGCAGCAAAGATCTTGGCTAGCACTTCCGCCTTGGCCTTTGAGTCGAATACAATAGTTCCATCCTGACACGTAAGTGGTGGAAGGCTACTGTGTGAGAAGTTCTTTTCAATCTGCTTGGCCAGCGTCCAGAAAGACCGACTGCCATTGCGCTGCGAGATTACCCTGTGCCTAACTTTTATATCATGCAGGTTTTTGGCATTGCGAACCGCTTCGTTATATTTGTTTCTGGACTCGACGTCGGCTTGTCTGTTCTCTACAGTGGGGTTTTGTAAGTAGGTTCTGTGGGCCCTGATCTTCTGCTGGCGAGTAGTGTCACACGATTTGTTGAACCAGCCGTTGGACCCTGGTTTAGGAACTTTCACTGTGTGAGGGATGTATTCCTCCATTCCGACGTGGATAATTTCGGTTATTGAAGAACAGACAGTCGACGCATCCGCATCAGTGAAACAGACATCTCTCCAAGGAAAGCTAGAGAAGAAGTGTCTGAGCCCCTCCCAGTCGGCATGTCCGTAATGCCAAGTTTTGCGGCCTGTGCGAGTTTCTGCTGCTCAGCGGCTTCGGACCGAAACCTAACCTCCACAACACCGTGATCTGAGTTACCCAGGGGGGACAGGACAGCAGTGCTGTAAGGGGTAGGATGCGTGGTCAGAAAGAGATCCAGCAGGCTACTGGCGTGTGACGAGACGCAGGGGAAAAAAGTAGGGCTCGTCACCAGCTGGGTCAGCCCTTGAGTAAGAGCGAACGCTTCGACTGCACGACCTGCTGCATCGGTCTTATTTGAGCCCAACCAAAGCTCATTATGGGCATTGAAATCACCGAGAAGAACTACCTCTGAAGCGGGGTGATTGATGTTCAGGAAGTCGATCTGGACGGCGAGGTATTCGAGTAGGTCATCCCAGTTATGGTTCGAGGGAGAGCGATAAAGTCAGCAAATAAATTTGGGTGATGTTTTGGAGTTGAGGCGAAGCCACAGAATGTCCTTCCGGTCTGATTCCAAAGAAAGATCCCTGGAGCAGGAAAGACTGCTGCGGACAAAAGCCACAACTCCCCCGTTCTTTCTCAGATTGGAGTGCACCTCGTAGTTTGGGAAGTTGAGATGGTTAATCGGTGCAGTCTCTGAGATTTTTGTCTCCGCCAAGAAAAGCACGGCGGGACGATTGGATTGCAGGTAGTGATGAACAGCATCAATGTTGCGGTTGATCCCGCAGATGTTCGAAAAACAAATTTTATCTTCGATGTTGTTCCCTCGAGCCCACCCTCCACCCGGACATTCCGAGAGTGGAGTGAGTTTACGTCCGGGTCTTTGCTTTTTATAAAGCAAGTAGGAAGCTGAGGTTTGGTTTTTCTGATGGTTCCTACTTAGTTAGATACCAAAATGCCGGTAATAAACAATAGAACCAAAAATAGTCGCAAAATAATATGACACCGAAAACAGTCGCTGCGTGTCACGGTGACCCGCAAGAGCTCCGTTCAAGTAGCCAGCTCAATGTAAACAAAGCAACATGTACTGAGGTTTGTAGATAAGTAGTTCATAGGGAGGTACCTAAGAGGCGAGTGATCTTAACTAATACGGGAGAGGCAGGGCGTAGTGAGAGTGACCCGCAGCTACCGCTGTAGGGTTAAACACTGTCTAAACAATCGTAAAAAAGTGTTGTGTTGAAAATAAAAAACATTATTTTTAATATCTTCAAAACGGTCCACTAGAATAAACTAAAATTTGGTACCTATATGGATTTAGCTAAGTATTGTCCACATTCAAAAGCCTTTGTTTAAAATTCCCGTGCACCAGTGGCGGAGATACAGGGCATTGGTGGCATTATTTTTTCAAATAAAAATAGTACGCCACTGATTTTTTTTTCGAAACCCGCAACTTTTCGAATTTTGCCTTCAATTTGCCACAAATTTAATTGTATCTTGTGGGAAAAGTGCACTTCTTTGTTAATTTTGGAGCGCTGAATCCAAAAATGACAATGAAATAAAAAAAATTGTTGCGGTTTAGATAAAAAACTTTTTATTTTTAAGGATATATTAAAAAAGTAACAAGATTCATATACTTATAAGAATCACTATATGCGCTGTCTTTTTGCTGTTCTTTTACGGATCGTTTCTGGAGCATCTCTACCAAGAGTCCAACAGTAGTCTGCAAGCATGGAAGGATTCCACTTTCCCTGGTACCTTTTTTCCATTGTTGAAATATCCTGATGAAAACGTTCGCCGTGCTCATCACTTACGGCTCCGCAATTGTCAGGAAAAATGTCCAGGTGTGAGTGTAGGAAATGTATCTTAAGATACATATTACAGCCCATCTTTTGATACGATGACAGCATATTCTTGACAAGGGTTTTATAGTTGTCAGCTTTTCTATTTCCCAAGAAATTAGTGACCACCAGACGGAAATCATTCCAAGCAGTTTTTTCAATACCTGTTAAAGTGTTTTCAAACTGTGTATCTTTCAAAATATTTCGAATCTGTGGCCCAACAAAAATACCTTCTTTAACCTTTGCCTCACTTAGTCTTGGAAATTTCTGACGCAGGCATTGAAAAGCTGACCCATCTCTATCTAATGCCTTGACAAAATTTTTCATTAGGCCCAACTTGATATGCAGTGGTGGTAATAATTTTTTTTTCGAATCTACTAATGGCATATGCTTGTCATTTTTTTGACCTGGCTCTAGGAATTGACGAACAGGCCAGTTTTGTCTGGTGTAATGAAGTGCCTTTGCCCGACTCTCCCATTCACACAAAAAACAGCAAAACTTTGTGTAGCCTAGCTGCAGCACAAGTAAAAGTGCAACAACTTTCAAATCGCCACAAATATGCCATTGGTGCTCATCGTACTTTATGCATGTCAATAGGTACTTCATATTGTCATGATTCTTTCATGTGAACTGCATACCCTACAGGAAGAGATGGTAAAACATTTCCAATATGCAATAACACTGCCTTTAAACTCAATGTTGAACTGTCTATAAACAATCTCCATTCTTCTGGGTTATAGTTTATATTTAAAGCCGCCAGTAAGCCGTTAATGTTACTGCAGAAAACCAAGTTATTCTCCATATTGAAAACTGGTTCTAAGTCTTTGTGGCGTTTACGAAACACATACCGAAACATCGTCTTCTAACAACTTCCACTGCTGCAGTCTTGATCCAAGTAACTCTGCCTTACATTTTGGAAGTTCTAAATCTCTTAGGATTCTGGGGGTTTTGGAATAGGATTTTCGTCACTGTGAGGCACAGGTCTCATCGCAGATGGTATGTTTGGGTAGTTAATAACCGATTTTTTTTTCTTGGACATACCTGTGGCTTGTCCAACACAAGGTACCATGCAAAAGTAACAATCATTAATATGATTTGTAGGCTCTCTCCAAACCATTGGGACAGCAAAGCGCATAGACCGTTTTTTGCCATTTAACCAGCTCCTCAGACTTGAAGCACATGTATTACAGCAGATGTGGGGTGCCCACTGTTTGTCTTGATCACCTAGTTTACAACCGAAATAAAGCTGATATGCCTTTGTTATTAGTGGAGTAATAGACCGTCTCTGAGACGCAAAAGTCACATCACCACACACGTAACAAAACTGATCTGGATTGTTTACACACTTTCGGGACATCTTGCATGAACGCTGTCAGCCAACTGAGGAAAAAATGGCTAATATAAAACAATATAATGTACACGTATGTATAACGTAACACAATCATGCCGATTACATCATCTTTCCTTGCCGAATATAAAAATGTAGCACGTGCATTCTTGTGAATTACAGTATATTAACACTGTCACAGCAGGAACACATATAATTACCGTATCTCTAAAACTTGCACTAATATTGAAAAAATAAGTTTCATTCCGGTTTTAGCACATTAAAAATAGTAATATTTTGTTGATTTTATTTAGGATATTTTTTGGCTGTTGATCAGTGTAATTACTGTTTTTTCCTAGAAACCATTTTTTTTCGTAGAAATAAAATAAATCAAATTAGCTTTATTTCAATAAATTTCATTTCATTTCTGGTCACGACTTGCGAATCACCCTGTATATAATATCCGAAAAACCTAATTTTCTAAATAGAAAATGAAAAGACGCAGAATTCTGTACCTGCCGGTGGAATCTCTCAGTCAATGTTTTGTCCAGCCTCTAAGTTCAGTACCTATGATTCATTACGTTTTCGTTATTTCGATGAACAAATATTTAGCGTTAAAAGACTTCTATTTTTTTCAAGCTTCACAGTAATCCAGCGATTTTAGAAATCCGTAGAAACAGTAGATCAATGGTGAAGATGTACAAACTGACTTCAATCTTGAATAGGTACACTTACCCGTCCACCAGCTTTTCCATTAGATCTTGGGCTTCCAACACCTTCTTCGGCCGAGGATAGCCCACTGTCGTATGATCCAGCAGGAGGACTTGTTGTCCAACAAGCGTCTGTGATGGGCAAAGGTTGGCCATCGTCGTATGCATAGCAATACGTCCTGTAACAAAGAAAAATAGCGTTAACTAAGTTGCCTCTGCCTTTCCCACGCTGTGCTGTGATTAGTTCATACAGAGGATTGTTCAGCACTAGTTAGCATCTTTTAAAAGAACTAATTACGTGTATAGCAAATAAATTAAATAGTTCGGATCATTAAAGTATGCTGGTAGAATTAGCTTCCAGTATCCATCCACAAAAAAATAGTTCTGGTATACCACAGGGATCTGTGTTAGGACCCATGTCGTTTTCATTATACAGGATGGCGCATAATGAAGACGATTTTGATCAGCGATTACAATTTTGTGAAGATATGAGTGAACGAATTATAAACGATGAACATTTTCTATTCGACACTTGCTTTCCCGACGAATGTTCCTTTTTCTTAAATGGCGTAGTAAATCGTCATAACTGCCGATATTGGTCCGATTCTAATCCCAGAATTTATCATGAGCAGCCACAAAAATTAAATGTTTGGGTTGGTATTTTTGGAGAATTTAGTTGGTCTTTTTTTGTTACCTGGAAATGTGACCGACCAAATGTATTAAGAATTACTGGAAGATGCCATAGATCCTGCATTACAGCCATAATTGAAAATCGGAATGATCGGCGGTACATTGCGAATAGGTTGATGTTCCAACAGGATGGTGCCCCACCACATTACGCATTACGTGTTAGACAATATTTAGATCAGACGTTTCCAGATCGATGGATTGGTAGAAGAGGTGCCATTGAATGGCCCCCAAGATCGCCAGATTTATCACCTTTGGATTTCTTTATGTGGGGTCATTTAAAAAGCAAAATCTATGCTACTCAGCCAACATCATTGGAAGACCTGCGACAAAGAATTGTGAATGAGGATTTAGAAACATTGATTAAGTCATGCAACATATAATGTTTGCTGACGATACTCAGATTTTTTATTCACTTGGAATTAATGACTTGGAAACTGTTAATAATAAAATTAATCAAAATCTTGTCCAAATTGAAAGGTTTAATCTTCCTTTGAACCATTCAAAGACAAATATGTTGGTATACGTAATTAAAAAAAAGGGCGTGCTTTAAGAAATGACAAACATAAGTTTAAAAGTTAATACCATATTCTCAGAGTTTTATTTGCAAATAAGGCTAAGGCTAGATAACATAAATCTGCATTGGGTGAATCTCTCTTGTTTTCAAAAATGTCATATTGCTTAATGATTCACTATCTCTATTTAGATATTAGAACAAGAAATATTATATTCAAAGTATTATGAATACATGGTGCAGACTTGTAAATGGTCTCAGAAAATATGATCATATATAATAATAATAATAATAATAATAATAATAATAATATTTATTCACTCAATGTACAAAGATAACAAACAATATGAGTAAATAAATATAAAATCAAAACAGGCCCAATAGAAGGCATCGCCTGTACATGGACCAATAAATTTAAGTTGAAACTGTAGAATGCAAATGACAAAAAAGGACAAAAATTAGCTACAGTAGATTATGTATTTAGTTGATATTCGTATTTATGAGTTTATGAATTTCAGTCCTAGATATAGAATGTAGCCACTTTTTTAAATTTCTTTTGAAACAATTTCCGAAACGTAAATCTTTTAAGTCTTTAGGTATAATTTCATAAAATTTAGGCGCTAAATAGAGATATGATCGCTGCATTATAGATTTATGCGGTTGAGGAACTACTGTGCCACGAATTTTGTACCTGGTATAATGATTATGTTTAATATTTTGGTCGGTGTTTACAAATTTATGGTAGTGAGTGATACTGTGTAAGAAATAAAGCTGTCTTATATCATAGATTCGAACATCTGCGTATAATTTTTCAGTGGGATAAAGTTTCGGTTTTTTAAATATCATTTTTAGAATACTTTTTTGAAAAACATCTAAATTATAGATATGTGAGGAACATGCAGCTCCCCATGCTAATATACCATATGTGAGATGAGGCTCAATCAGTGCATGGTATAATGTTCGAAGATATTTTTCTGTCAATATATTCCCAAGGTATTTAATTTTGTAGGATACAAATCTAACTTTCTTTAAAATATAATTGACATGGATGTCCCATCGTAAGTGAGGATCCAAGACCACTCCAAGGTATTTTATGTTGGGCACTCTATTAATTTGCATTTTTTGATCATTAATATTGAAGGAGAAATTTGTGTAATTTGGCAGATGTCTAGCATAAGATCCAAATGGTAAAAAATGTGTTTTAGATTAGTTAATGGTTAATTTTCTACTGTTAAACCACCGAATAATTTTGATAAAATCATTTTCAATTACATTTTTCAGATCAGACCAGTCAGTGCCTTCATATAATATTGCAGTATCATCTGCAAAACTAGTTATTTTGCCAACACAATTAATTTGGAAAATATCATTTAAATATATATTGAATAACAGCGGACCTAAGACAGTTCCTTGTGGGACACCACACTTAATATACATTTCTTTACTAAATGATCCTGATATCTGCACAGATTGTGGGCGATTTGACAAATAACTTTCGATCAGTGAGTAAGCGTTTCCTCTGAAACCAATTCTCTCCAATGCTTCTAATAATAATTTGTGATTAACTGTGTCGAAAGCTTTCTTTAAATCAACAAAAATGCAGATTGAAGGGATTCTGTTATCAATATTTTGATGTATTTGACTTACAATTTTAGTTATTGCGTCCGATGTAGCCTTCTCTTCTGTAAATCCATATTGATTTTCACTTAAAATTTTGAATTTTGTGAGGTATCGAATCATTCTAGTAGATAAAACTTTTTCAAAAACCTCTGCTACACTGGATATTATTGATATTGGTCTATAGTTGTTAACATCTGTTTTTGTTCCTGATTTATGTATCGGTATTGTATTACCTTTTTTTAAAATTGAGGGATATATGCCAGATTCAAAGCATTTGTTGATTAGGTAAGTGAGTGGTTCTGTTATGTCCTCGGCTATAATTTTCAAATGCTCGCTTTTAATACCATCGAACCCAGGACTTTTCCGATTTTTTAAGGACATAACAGTGGTGTATACTTCACATTGCTCGACTTTATCCAAAATAAATGAGTTCAAAGTTCTTTTTGGAGGCTGAGTATTTTGTACATTTGCTTGTATATTACTTGCTAAATTTGCGCCTATGTCAGTAAAGAATTGTACAAATTCATCCAATATCTGTTGAGTATTTTTTAATACTGTTCCCGATGTTGTATTTAACTCAGTGACACACTCTTTAACTTTTGTTTTCCCAGTAATCTCATCAATAGTTGTCCAAAGCCGCTTAGGATCATTTAAGTTATTATTCAATTTATTTAGGTAATGTTTTCGTTTGGTTTGCCTTACAAGCTCTATAAATTTATTTTTATATTGGTTGTAGCAGTCGGTATTCTCTGTAGTTGGCGTTAGTTTCATTACATTATATAGTCTTTCTTTTTCTATTGCCGATGTTATATGTTTCTATATGCGAAACTTAAAAGACATGTCTCGTACATGTATTAATTTTCAACAAATTTTCAGTTTATATACATTTCATATTATTAAGGGTGTTAGGTGGTGGGATAGATATATACGTAGTATCTAAATCTCCACTCCTGTAATATTATTACACATAAAAAAGTCATTAATTATGATTATTATTATTTCACAAGCTGCGGCAACGTTGCAACCAGAATCAGTCAATTTCCTTTAGTCTAAAATACTGCATATAATTAACATAAGTGACGTCACATTGTGTAAGTTCGGATTATGCGGTGCGATATTATAGATATACAATAAATAAAAAATGGAATAAGCAAGTTGCGTGAATGACGATAGCGGCCTTCACCATGCACAGTGCATACAGTGCGAAAGCAATGGCCGGCTGTGACGTACGACCACCGAAGACGACGCTTGTCCGTCCCGGGGACCACGTCGCACGTCAAAAACGACAAAGCTTTTTCTGTACTTTGCGCAATACTAAATCCAGACGGACGGAAATGCGTGCATGTCATATAATATCCAAAAAAGGCGTCTGATGAATAAAAAGAAGTATCCCTTTACTAGCGGAAGAATCAAATAATATTCGCTAGGGTAAATAATCGGGGGTAAATATTCGTACCTCGACCTCAACTTAATGAGGTATCTAAACAAGAAGATAACTCTCAAAGTAGGCTGAGTTAAAGTGTAAGTGAAGTGTGCGTAGTTCTAAGGTAAATATTGAAAATTTAATTTGAAACAAACTCTTGTTGATTGTTGTTAGAGACTCCACGTTTTTCTATCTAAAGGAAACCATGTAGAAATTGCTCGTATCCACTACCTAAAATTTCCCGTTCTGTGCTTTGAAAAACGTCACCGAAAAAGCATGGACAGATTAGACGCTTCGTTGATGCAAAGTTATTAGCAGAAAAATATGAGCATATTCCCAAGTCATATTTCTATGTCTTTTAGTCACAAAATGTTAAACATATTTTCTAGCATTATTGAAAATTTTTGAAAAATCAATTTAAAGAAATCAAGCTTTGGATATTTTAAAGCGTAAGCTAAGAATAGTTTTGTAGTTCAAAAAGGATGTAATTATTTATAGTGCTTTTCACTTCTGTACCTCAGAGTCAGACTGTGTTAGGTCCAAATAAGCAGTTTTGAGATAATTGTATTTGAAATATTTTTCTTTCATTGTACTGTATGCGACTTGACATGACTTAAAAAGTCGTAACTTCCTTATTATTACAGATAGATGGACGCTGCATGTAGCAAATGAAAATTCACAATATTATCAGAAGCTTAACATATACTAAGTGACATATAAATCCGAACACCCAGTTTAAATGGTTTTATTTTAATAAAAGTTGGTGAATGTCTTCTGAATCTTACTAATTTTCAGCCTTATCAGTTGGACATTCCGGTTTTAATACTGCTTTTTTTTAATTCACTAACGCTCTAAAAATGAATATTTCAGCCGCAGTAAAGAATCAACGTTGGCGGATTTTGGTTCTTGACATCCTTTACGATCGGTTACGATGCCTAGAGTACGGAGACCTGTACGATTTCGTCAACTTAGTGAGTTTGATAGGGGCCGTATTGTGGGACTTCGGGAAGCTGGACTTTCTTTTCGGGCAATTGCAGTTAGAGTGCAAAGAAGTGTAGACACTGTGGTTAGGTGTTGTCAGGCATGGCTTCGAGAAGGCCGTACGCAAAGAGCAAGGGGCACTGGACGCCGCCGTAGAACAACAGACCGTGAAGATCGCCGCCTAAGATTATTGGCCTTAAGGGACCGTTTCTCCACTACCAGGTCCATTGCAAATGAATGGTTTGCAGAACACGGAAGACCTATTGGCATGCGAAGTGTTTACCGACGAATGAGAAGTTTTGGCTTGTTTTCATACCGGCCACACTGGGTCCTCCCTTTAACTCGAGAACACCGACGTAATCGCCTTGAGTGGTGCAGACAACGGTCACTCTGGGATCAGGAATGGAACAGTATTGTCTTTAGTGACGAGTCTCGATTTTGTTTAGGCATGCACGATGGTCGTGCCAGGGTTAGAAGGCGACGTGGTGAAAGGAGGAATCCACAGTTTTTTGTTGAAAGACATGTTCATCACACTGTTGGAGTTATGGTTTGGGGTGCTATAGCTTATGGTTCCAGGTCACCTTTAATCTTCATCAGAGGTAACATGAACGCGCAGCGATATATCCACGAAGTTCTAGAACCCCATCTTTTACCCTATCTTGACACCCTGGCAAATCCAACTTTCCAACAAGATAATGCCCGACCACATGTTGCAAGAGTCACAATAGACTTCTTTCAACATAATGATGTCACATTGTTACCATGGCCACCAAGATCTCCCGACTTATCCCCAATTGAGCACGTGTGGGTTATGATGGGTAGGAGATTGCTCAATTTGCAACGTCCTCCTCAGACTCTAGAAGCACTTCGAGAGGAGTTGGTGGTCGCCTGGAATGAGATACCACAGGAGGACATTGACCACCTGATCAGAAGCATGCCTAGGCGCGTTGGAGAATGCGTAGCACATCAGGGTGCATCCACACATTATTAAAGGTCAAAGGGCTTTAAAGCAGTGCAATCATTTTGAAATGTTTATCATTTACTTATTATGCTTCATTAAGTCCTTATACAAAATTTTATTAAAATAAAACCATTTAAACTGGGTGTTCGGATTTATAGGTCACTTAGTATATTAAACTCATTTTTGACAAAAATGGACTCAACCTAGTCTGGCTCTGGGGCACAGACTTGTGTTTGGAAGAATATTCGCAAAAAAAGTATGGGTTGTCTTTTTAAGTAAACGCAAGTATTGGTGGTTTGGCAAGTTTCAAATTTTTTCACGGAAAGGATTTTAATAGTCAATTTCAACAAAACCTTATTACATTTTCTTGCGACAACAGATCTTTCCCAGATTGTAATCAACTCGAAATTAAAGCGTTGAATAGCTGCAAGAGCATACGACCGGTTGATAATTTCAAATATTTAGGGGTATTCATAGATAATCATGTAAGATGAAAATTTAATAAGAAAACTAAGATACCTTATTGCGAAAATTAAACATTTCAGCAGTTTTTTAAGCGAAAAATGATATATGTATCATGCTCTTGTTCAATCATTACCATCTTATGAATTCTTAGCATGAGGAGGTCACAAATAATAAATTTAAAAGTTCAAAGGTGATGTTGAACAAAAATAAATGTTATCCCGCAGAAAATCTTTATAGCGAATCTCAGCTTTTCGACTACCGGCAAATATATTTTTATCGTGCAATAATATATTTAAAAAACTCCAAAATTATTACACAAGCATCAAACCCGATTCAAGGAAACATCTGCGCTAATTCCAAGACTAAATAATACTATCAGCCAAAGATTATTCTACTTTCTATGCTCAAAATTTTATAACGTTATTCCTGTAAACCACAAACGTATAAAATGTAAAAAAACGTTTAAAAATCGAATTAAAGTTATGGGTCCTAAATCAATCAAGGCTACAAATCCATAAGTTTGTAGACGTTAAAAATCAATATGTTGTTTGATAATAAATTGATGCAAATTTATACGTTTGACTAGTATACTTATAGAAAATTTGTTGTATTCATATAATTCAAGTTCGGTTAAAACTCAAGCACAAGTGAACACTTTTTTGGGTATATTATGTTTATTGGACACAGCCGTTATTAATAAATATTATCATTATTATGCTTATACCTATTTAAATAAAACTGCCATTACTTGTTTTTCAAAAGATTCTTTGTGCTAAAGTTGGGAAGTAATGATAAACTTCTTCAGTTCAGTTTTTTTTAAAGCATGACATTTTGACAATGTTGCGCTAGTAAATTATTATTTATATTTACGAAAATGTGTGCAGCAATAAAACATTTACGCCTGCCGAGTTCAGTTTTCAAATAAAATAGAAGACGACCGAGATATGATTTCAAACTTGTACTTACGGTTGATTGCCAATCTTGACGCAATACGACTCCAAGTAAGTCTCCATTCTGGTCACTTAACGCGCACTCTCTCGAAGGAAAAGAAGAATCGCAAGAATCGCCGATCGCTCGATCTTCGGTCAAGTCGGGTGGTTTGTGAATCGGTCCGCACTACCTGTTGGGCTTTTATACCAGCCGTTGAGGGTTGACGGAATTAACTTTGGCCCTTTTGCGGTTCGGATCTAATGGGCTGGTCTGTCGGCTGGTAGCGCGTGCCCGGCGACCAATCAGAAAGCGAGGGGCTTCGATACGGTACAATCCGGGGTAGAAGTTTGCTTTAGGGAGACTAGGGTGACTTCCTGAAGGTATTTTTACAATTTTTCCACGGGGGATTTGAGAGGTTTAGGATGCCAACGTTGAATTTCAAATTCTGTCAATAAAGTTTTTGGTACTGTGCCCCCTTTTCCGATGTATCCGAGCTAAGAAAAATTCAAACGTGTCAGAGACTGACATATTCCTGAATATGGTTCGTCAGCTTCGTGCAGAATTTTTTTGAGCGGGTAATTTCATATTCATCATATAGACCATTGATTCCCAAAGTGGTCTATATCGACCCCTAGGGGTCTATGACAACCTGCAAGGGGTCTACGTCAGCGAAAAAAAATTTGGGGGGCCACGATAGTGGATTTGAACACATACACTGATAGTACCTATTTACTTACATCATACTATCTTATAATATCAAAACATGTACATTATTTATTAAAGTACCTATGAAGTAAAAAATTTATTATATATGTTTATAAAATTGTGTAAGTTGTAGGATGTTGGTATTCGCTTTGTGGTCGCAATACATTTGGAACTTGTAAAAACCTGAGAGTCTCAGTCGCAGAGCTTCGCTACCTTGCACTGACTTGTTCAATTCGCCACTCTATAAATACGAATGTGGGACAAATACGTTTATTCGTTTCCTGAATCTTGAAAAGGAAAGTGCTAAGAAAATATTTTAAAAAATATAAACAGATAGTATATCAGACAAATTATAGTGAGTCAGTGTTATTTTGTTTGAGACTGCTGGAGAAAAGTAAGTACATTATTTTTTATTAAATTTTAGTTTTGTACTCGTAGTTAGCAAAGATAGATAAATTACGCCAATCATGACTTTAGTTATTAGTAGTTAAATATTCAATCATGCAAAATTACACGAGTACTCCTCAATAGTTTCTTTTTGAAAGTTTTAGCAATCGGTAATATAATTACAGTGCAATCTCCGTAATTCGAGCTAATTGTTGCAAGAACATGTTCGAATTATGGAATGTTTTCGGAAAAATCATAAAATATTTTTAATATACAGCTGCTGGATTTTCTGTTTTACTTAAATAATTTAATTTGGCCCACAGATGACTGATGCCATGTCCGAATCTAAGAGGAAATGTAGACAGTACAGTGTTGATTATTTGAAATTAGGCTTCATTCCATCATTGCCGGACAAACAATCGCCTATGTGCCTTTTATGCAACAAAGTTTTGGGCAATGACGCTATGAAACCATCTAAACTGCAAGATCATCTGAGAAGATGCCACCCTGATAAAACAGAGAAAGATTTGAAATACTTTCAAACACTCGAAGATAAATTTCAGAAGAGACCTACACTGGACAGAATGTTCGCTTCGACGTCACAAAGAAATGATGATGGTTTGCGGGCGTCTTACAATATCTCGTTACTTATAGCAAAATCCGGAAAACCGCATACTATCGGAGAGAAATTAATTTTGCCAGCCGTTGAAGAGGTTTTAAAAACTGTTTTACACAAACCTGCATCTGATATCATTAAAAGAATTCCCTTAAGCAACAATACAGTTGAAAAACGTATTGATGAAATGAGTTCTGATATTGAAAGCTTCTTGTGTAATTATTTGCAAACGACCCATTTCTCTATACAACTGGACGAGTCAACTTTACCTGATAATGCAGCATTACTATTGGCATGTGTTCGTTTTATTATGAATCAAGAAATCTACGACGAACTGCTCTTCGCAAGAACTTTGATAACCGACACTAAAGGTGAATCAATATTTCATGTTTTGAAGGATTACTTCATTGAAAAAGCAATTCCTTTATCAAATATAATATCAGTAACTACAGATGGAGCACCTGCCATGGTTTGACGTTATCGTGGATTTATAAGCTATTTAAAACAAAATGTGTCAGGGGTGTTAACCATACTTTGCGTCATCCATCGACAACATTTTGTTGCTAAAAATTTGAGTGTTAGATAGCATAAATCACTTCATTTAGTCATTGATGCAGTAAACCGAATCCGAAGCAACGCGTTGAATACGCGGTTATTTGCGCAGTTGTGTGAAGAAAATGACGAACACTTTCATCAATTACTCCTTCACACTGAAGTACGCTGGCTGTCGAAAGACTTATGTTTGACAAGATTTTTTGCACTTTCTGAGACTATTTTAGAATTCCTGGATACTAAAGATAAAATTTTAAAAGAAAATTTAGTGAAGAGGAAAACAGACATCGCCTATTTAACAGATTTGTTTACAAAATTTAATATGGTTAATTTGCAATTACAAGGCGACAGCTTAAATTTGATTAAAATAAAGTCCATCTTATCAGCGTTTCTTGCCAGAGTTAAACTAATGAAGCAAAATATTGGACGGGGCAAATTTTCTCAGTTCCCCAATTTGTCACAGACAAGCTGCCAGGAAGACGACGTTTCAACTTACGTTCAACATTTAAATGCCCTCTATTCAGGTTTTGAATCTAGCTTTGAGGATATTTTGACTATGGTAATACCACCGTGGATAATTAATCCATATGGTGACATAGAAGAAACGAATGTCATAATACAAGAGGAACTGACTGAACTAAGTACAAACGAAGAACTTAAGGTTCGGTTTAAAAACGGTATCAACAATTCTGGCTGCAAAACAACATACCCGTTACTTATCCCGTATTATGGAATTTCCTTTCAATCGTCATACCTAGTGGAAAGTGGGTTCAGCGCTGTTACCAATCTCCTAACGAAAAAAAGAAACAGACTGGACATCATTAGCCGAGGAGATTTGAGATTAACCCTTACAAAATTGACGCCAAATGTTGATAATTTATTATTAAAGCATCAGGTTCATCCTTCTCACTAAAAATATTGACTTATTGCTTATGTTATTTTATTTATAGTTTATTTTATGTTTATTGGTGTCTGACCAATAAATGCCCGCATTGGGAATAAATGCCCGCATTGATTTTTTTTAAAGAACCCCCTTTATGGAAAATATTTTTTTTTAAAATTATTCTGAAAATTCAAGGTTAGGTACACACTAAAATTCGTTAATTTTTTGCCTATTTTTAAATAACTTAAACGTATAAGAAGCGGAATTTAATCAAACCAACAGTGAAATTATTGTAGAACATACGTTTATGTTATAATTAATAAACGAACTCGCTTATTGTACTATTTTAAGTAAAAAACTTTTTTTTTATTATTTTTCACTTTTTTTTTATTTTATCCCTCTTATTTTTTTTCCAATGCGGGCACTTATTCCCAATGCGGGCACTTATTAGTCAGACACCTGTTTATTTAATGTTACGTATATTTTACATAACAGATACAAAATTTTATTTTGAGTGGTTTTAATTTAAATTCAATTAATAAATGTATAAATTAACATGTGTTTTTACTTTAAGTTTTTAACTCTAACCTTCACTACAGTTAGAAATTTACAGGAAATCAATATCAGATAAGTAGGGGGTCTACCCAATACGGAAAAACATGGCAAGGGGTCTACGACACAAAAAAGTTTGGCGAACTCTGATATAGACCCTCATAAATATTTTCTAGATCCGCCCCTCTCAGTGCTGAGACAGTTAAGTAGGGCGGCTGTCAATAGCTGACCACCATGTCAAATATACAATGTGAGGTTAGAGAAAGTTTGACCCTAAAGCATACATGTCTCCTTTGTTACTAAACTAAATCGTGAAATATTCCGTGCAGTGCTGTTATTGTCAAATAGCTATAAGATGACAAATCTGTTTTCATGAAGTTATAAATCACAAAGGGACAACACAAAGCCCCATCTATTACCAGAATCGGCCTCTAAGAATGCAAGGCACTGTCTCTGGAAACGTATCCCTCGTAGAGGCTGGCCGCAAAAAAATTTCTTACTAAAACGGTCAAAAGAAAAACCTGGAAAATATTTTCAGGTCTCTGAAATGGTCGCTAGAGGGCGTAACTGCAATCTTGAGTCTAAAAAAGTGATGTTTCTGTAAATTCTACTATATGAACCTAACAAAAAAAAGACTTGATCTTTAAAGTAGAGATTTTTTGTTTAACAATTTTTGCTGTCTCTCTAAAATACAGTGGTGGTGGTATTGAAAGGTTTCCGAAGAAAAAACACCCTATATCTTCGAAACCGCTGACCCGATTTTAACAAAATTGGGCTTGTTGAAAAGAGCAATTTTTGGGCTTCAAACGTTATGAAATTTGAAGTTTTGTTTGTTTCAAATGTGGCGGCAAGAGTGCTTTCTTCGACATTGGGACAGAAATGGGTTGTTTTCTCAAAAATTAAATGATTCTGTATGATCCTTTTATGAAAAAATGATGTCTAAACAAAGTTGCGAAAAACGCATCTTGTTCCTAATCTGAAATTTAGGCTAAAGAAAATTTTATACGGAATAAATTTTATTTTTTTGAACTAATTTTTCTGGAATTCTTATTTATTCATCAGAATAAAATTACCCTTTTTGAAAATATTACAAGATATTGCTAAAAGGCAAGTAGGTAATGCTAATAACAAAAGGCATATTTTGTGTTTAAATGCATTTCCACTATTGGTAAAAAAAATCCAGAAAAATTACTTCAAAAAAATTAAAATATAAGGGATTTCCATGTAAAAAATCTTCGGCATATAAATTGTAGGTTACTAAAAAGATATCGAGAGCTTGTTTAGACATCACTCACTAATATTTTTACCAACTATATTCTATTTTTAACTTTTACGAGGGATGTCTTTTAAGTTTTGCATGTAGAAACACGCGGACCGAACGTCAGTACTGATCACACCATAGCATGGGAAGGACAGACTCAACTTAGTTAACGCTATTTTTCTTTGTTACAGGACGTATTGCTATGCATACGATGATGGGCTATCCTCGGCCGAAGAAGGTGTTGGAAGCCGAAGATCCACTGGAAAAGCTGGTGGACGGGTAAGTGTACCTATTCAAGATTGAAGTCAGTTTGTACAATTTCACCATTGATCTACTTTTTCTACGGATTCATAAAATCACCGGATTACTGTGAAGCTTGAAAAAAATAGAAGTCTTTTAACGCTAAATATTTGTTCATCGAAATAACGAGAACGTAAAGAATCATAGGTACTGAACTTAGAGGCTGGACAAAACATTGACTGAGAGATTCCACCGGAAGGTACAGAACTCTGCGTCTTTTCATTTTCAATTTAGAAAATTAGGTTTTTTGAATATTATATACAGGGTGATTTACAAGTCGTGACCAGAAATGAAATGAAATTTATTGAGATGAAGCTTATTTGATTTATTTTATTTTTACGAAAACAATGCACTCTAGGAAAAGCATACGAGTAAATTTGAAGGCAAAATTCGAAAAGTTGCGGGTTTCGAAAAAAAATCAGTGGCGTACTATTTTTATTTGAAAAAATAACGCCACCAATGCCCTGTATCTCCGCCACTGGTGAACGGGAATTTTAAACAAAGGCTTTTGAATGTGGACAATACCACTGGACAACAAATTTTAGTTTTTTTATTGTATCTTGTGGGAAAAGTGCACTTCTTTGTTAATTTTGGGGCGCTGAATCCAAAAATGACAATGAAATAAAAAAGTTAGTTGCGGTTTAGAAAAAAACTTTTTATTTTTAAGGATATATTAAAAAAAGTAACAAGATTCATATACTTATAAGAATCACTATACGCGCTGTCTTTTTGCTGTTCTTTCATGGATCGTTTCTGGAGCATCTCTACCAAGAGTCCAACAGTAGTCTGCAAGCATGGAAGGATTCCACTTTCCCTGGTACCTTTTTTCCATTGTTGAAATATCCTGATGAAAACGTTCGCCGTGCTCATCACTTACGACTCCGCAATTGTCAGGAAAAAAGTCCAGGTGTGAGTGTAGGAAATGTATCTTAAGAGACATATTACAGCCCATCTTTTGATACGATGACAGCATATTTTTGACAAGGGTTTTATAGTTATCAGCTTTTCTATTTCCCAAGAAATTAGTGACCACCAGACGGAAATCATTCCAAGCAGTTTTTTCAATACCTGTTAAAGTGTTTTCGAACTGTGTATCTTTCAAAATATTTCGAATCTGTGGCCCAACAAAAATACCTTCTTTAACATTTGCCTCATTTAGTCTTGTAAATTTCTGACGCAGGTATTGAAAAGCTGACCCATCTCTATCTAATGCCTTGACAAAGTTTTTCATTAGGCCCAACTTGATATGCAGTGGTGGTAATAAAAATTTTTTCGAATCTACTAATGGCATATGCTGTACATTTTTTGACCTGGCTCTAGAAATTGACGAACAGGCCAGTGCCTTTGCCCGACTGTCCCATCCACACAAAAACTTTGTGTAGCCTAGCTGCAGCCCAAGTAAAAGTGCAACAACTTTCAAATCGCCACAAATATGCCATTGGTGCTCATCGTATTTTATGCATGTCAATAGGTACTTCATATTGTCATATGATTCTTTCATGTGAACTGCATACCCTACAGGAAGAGATGGTAAAATATTTCCAATATGCAATAACACTGCCTTTAAACTCAATGTTGAACTGTCTATAAACAATCTCCATTCTTCTGGGTTATAGTTTATATTTAAAGCCGCCAGTAAGCCGTTAATGTTACTGCAGAAAACCAAGTTATTCTCCATATTGAAAAATGGTTCTAAGTCTTTGTGGCGTTTACGAAAAACACATACCGAAACATCGTCTTCTAACAAGTTCCACTGCTGCAGTCTTGATCCAAGTAACTCTGCCTTACATTTTGGAAGTTCTAAATCTCTTACAAGATCATTTAATTCTGACTGTGTTATTTTGTGCAATTGGTGGCATGACGTGCTCGGTATAAAATCAGGATCTCTTGACGTTGATGGCATATCTTCTTCCTGACGAATCGCTCG